CGCCCAAGGCGGCGTAGACTTCCGCAACGCTCTCCAGGCTGCTTCAGCGCAAGGACACCGGGAGATCGTAAAGCGGCTGGAAAAGGCGGGTGCTTTAATGCAATCATAAGCACCGGCACAAGGAGTTAGTTTGTCTAACCGCGGTTTTGGATACTGTTGACTTCTCTTTTATTTCTCATATCTTTATAAAGGAGGGTCCAGGGACCGAGTTCATTATATAATAATAAATATAATTTGAGAATCGTCGAGAAGCTACTAGTTTTGTCGATTTATAATGTTTAAGGATAAGGCTTATATAAAGTTTTTTCGCTGTTAGGGTGCTCAACGCCACCTACTGCCTATAAGTGGCGTTCAGCACGGCCTGAATTATGCCCTTCATTCAGCTCAGCTTAGTAAATGTGCAATAAATGCTAAGTACGCCGACTCTGCCAGCTGTTCGGCGGATTAATAAATCTCCAAATCCAGCCGCCTAGATCAAACCTTGAGCTTGCAATCCGATACGTGACACGTATAATGCGGAAGTTTCAGTACATACAGTAATTCGGCTGGCGGTTTTCTTGTCCAAGGGAACAGCTATAGCCACCAGCTGTGAGCAGCTGCCAGTAGGGTTATATGTAGGGAAAAATCTATCGCACTCAGCTGGGCAAGGTTTGTCGCTGATCATTGAGACGCTCTGTCATCTGGGAGAAGGACCGAATCGAAGACGTTCTTGTTCCACTTTCGGACCGCTAACGCGATGTTCGACGATCAATCGATGCCTTTTGCTCGATATGTGCAAATATACAGCAATATTCCGGGTTATCGCGCCTAGAGGCTACCCAACAGAAAGGGTTTCAAGGTTTGCGCAAATGAACGCTTACATAATTGGCACGGGGCCGCCGGATTAGTACTCAGATCGGTGATGGCTGGGGAACCCCCGGTGTTGTATGTTTTTAACTTTTTGCTTTACTGGTCGTTGCAACCCACTCTTAAATAAAGTGTGGTGTATGGTGTGCGCGGGGCCATCTTCAATTCTTTCATATGGAGAGAACTATGTTGAGATTAAAGCATATGGGTTCATCGCACATATTTCAAGACCGGTGCCTACAGGTATCTGGCCAAGCGCTACGTGATGGCCAACAGTCTCGGCAATGCTGTAGGATCGTGCTACGAAGTGAAATATATTTGCGAATTGCAGTCGATTGGAACACATTTCGACAGGAAATCAGTAATATATGTTCATTGGTACAGACAACAGAAATGATGAATCCTTACCTTATGGTTTGCTCCTCACTCTTGCGAGCCAATGCTTCACGTTTACCCGAAGGGAGCCTTGTTCAAGTGAAAAATGCCCTGCCATGATAAATCCGCCGATTACTGCCCCATGTGCCTTTTATTTTCTCTGAACTCCCTTTAATCTGACAAGAATCTGAGCTAGTTCCTTGACCTGAAGTGGCCGGACGGCGAAGAGGATCTAGCGCAAGATTTTGATGGCAGCCGATCCAGCACTTCCTCAAAGATTACGTATCTTTCCCAGTTCGTGGGAGTACGTCTCACTGACACGCGTGGGCACTTCGGAAATCGTTTTGCGTGATTCCCGCGCCGTCTTTCCGGGCGATATCTCACTTTCGAGCAGCTTGACTCAAAGGAACATGCCCGCGCTTCGAGAAGCTGCTTCATCCACGAGATTGCCCTTCAGATCATCATTCCATGGGGCAGTCGCTCTTTGACCATGTGTCTTGAGAACAACTGTACTTCTGGGCCGGAAATATCGGCAGTGATGGCATATTCATGTTTGAAGAGACCGGTCAACGGGTGAGCTGACTTGCCGAGCCACTCACGTATGTCGGCAATGTCTCTATTGGCCACGAGGACTCGAAACCTCGTTTTGGATAAATGCTCAATCAACCTCTCCAAGGAACGATTCCTTGGGTCCTTGGTGTGATAGCGCCGCTACGAGTTGACATATGTGCATTCATCGAAACCGTCGACCACAAGGGTGTATGTAGTATTTGCGACAGCACGAGTGACCGCTCATTTCGTGTCGTTGTCACGTAGTGCATCGTATAGACGTTTGAGCATGAGGACTGCGACCACTTCACCGCGAGGATAAACATTTGCACGGTGATCGAATGTGTAGCATCGACCGACGGGGGACACCATTTGCATAATGTTCAGGACGGCACTGAAGTCAGAGTCCAATAGTACATTACAGCCGGCTACGATGCCCATACGAGTGACGCTGCTGCTCAACAGCTGGCACGATAGATCGACAGCCATAACGCTACTGGAGCAAGCTGATGCTAGGCTGACTGAAGGTCCACAAAGGTCGTAAAACCATTTGAGACGATTTTCAAGCTTAGACTGAGTGGCCCAAACTGCAGCACATGGAGATAATCCCGGTTTCCGCTCAGAGTCCTTCAGCATTTACTGCAGATAGTCGCTCGTGAAGCATCCGGTATGGACGGAAGATCTTAATCCTTTTTCACATTTCATACGGATGCCAGCATTTTCGAATGGTCTGTACCTTGTCTCAAGTAACATGTGTTGCATTGGTTCTATGGTGGAGGCTTCTGACCATAAGTAAGAAGAAGTTAGCGTCGAAGTTTCCTAAGTTCTCCTTGGGGATATGGCCACCTCGTGTTCGAAGGGAGTTATGTTGTGTGGGGTTCACTGTGCGATATTCCTTTACGGCCGATGCAGGGCTGCCCTCGGTACCGAGTTCTCTCGCTCGCTATAGCGACATATCATGACTTTCCCTGTGGGCAATGCAAGCCTGAGGACCGGCCGGCATTCCTACAGTACACATCTGGGGCGTGGAGGGCAGGGTCGAGCCCGGGTAGGAATGAGCGCTAAGCCAGCTGTGCCGCGAAGAAGGAAGACATGAATATATCCATGGTGGGACTCGGCGCAGGAGACATGGAAGGTCTGGTGAAGTCGGCGAATGCCATCATCCGCCGCATGTTAGTTCAGATGTGAAGCAGCAATGTGCGGACCTTTTTTTTTTTTTTTTCAATACTTAGCACCCAAATGGACATCAGGATTGGATCTCTAGCCTTTTTCCAGATAGATAATTACCTGCCCAGTTCCGGTCTTTCTTTTGATTACAAGCTCATCACACATACAAGCTATATAGAAAAATCACTCTTCAAGTAAAATTCAAGAGCTATAGGATCCTATAGCTAAATGATTTCTCTCGGTCAATATCATTTATCCACACCGTCACAATGTTGTACGCTACTCAGATTGATGGAATTGCCCTAGTCGTTGGCGTGAGTTAATGGCTACGCTCGTCATTCTATGAAGCACTGCTAGCGCGTGTCTTTCTAGTCTGGTAGTGGCATTGCTAGGGAGGCTGCCTTCTCGTTTGCAGAAACCGGGGCCAAGGTGGCTGTGTCTGCCGATATGAATAAGGAGATGGCCAAGGCTGCATCAGAAGAGAGTAAGAAGTAAGCCAGCAACAAGGAGTATCAAACGACCACCTGTGATATCTTTCGCACACATACAATATCAAACTTGCTCATATATACAACAACAATAACAACAACAACATGTCTCATAATGGCAAGCCAACCCACCGTTTGTACGAAACTCTCTTTCAATGATCCTCTCAAGTTTATTGGAAATATTCAGAACTGATAATCATGTTACAGGATTATGGTCGGGCAGTTCATGCAAGCACATGCGCACCTAACTGTCCCTGATATCCTAGGCGATATTTTAGGAAGTGTAGAAGAAGACCTGGAGCTTCAACGGGATTATGTTAAGTAATTGAGTTACTAAGTTGGCTCAAATGTCTGCACGTAGCCAAAGAAGTAGTGGAAGATATATCCGTATATGTTTATAATGGAGCATAAAGCCCGAATTATAGATAGCTAGGTTCCAATTTCAATAATCCACAAAAGAGCCCAGTGACAATAAAGCTTTGTAGTAGCATAAAGTATAAGACAAGAACATAGAGAGTATCGAGATAGATGATTTTCCTCCTTACAGACTCCAGCACGAATCAAGAAACGAGGTCAGTGACGATACAGACATAGTTCAGCATACAGATTTTACAGTAATCTTCCAGGAACAAGCAGAATATCAAAAACGACGTTGCGTTCTGTGTAATTTACTCCGACATGAGTGGCATTGCCATGAGGGTCGCGACCCAGACTGACCATAACCTCCAGGAGCGAGAATCGCCCGGTTGGGACCGGTCCAAGAAGAGATTCGCCGACAGTGTAAGCTCTGCAGCCAAGGGCAACGCCCTCGCGACCCATTCCAGACTCCAGAAGCGCGAAGCCACTTCAGTCCAGAGTGCAAGACCTGCAACGACGGACACACGAGCGGGCAAGTCTCCCATCATGAGCGGGATGGTCTTGCGCCCCGCCAGCTTATCGCCGGCCATGTCCCGAAAGTCCTGCAGATGTGACGACGTGGCAAAGGTGGCCATGAGGATACCGGTCCAGAACGCGGCATCGGCGTCTCCAGAGAAGATGGAGTGTCCAGTGGCCACCTCAAGGGGGCCGGCAAAGGAGCAGCCGAGTCCGACGCCGTTGATCATGTTTTTAAGTATCCCGCTGTCGGCTCCACCAAGCTCATTGTACCAAATGCCAAACAAGGTCAAGACCACGTACGGCACGAACCCACCCAGCCATAAAGCCAGGGCGAGACAGAGCGGGTGAAGTATCCAGAGAAGTAGGCGAGCTTGCTCCGCAGTGAGACGGCCCGAGGGTATCGGGCGCCAAGGCTTGTTGACGGCATCCTCGGCAATATTATCAGGCTGTCGCTGGTTATGGAGGCAAAACATGAACAAATTTGTCCAGGACCACAGAAACATCCATGGGATCACGGCGAGGATCTGAGGCCATGAGAGAGCGGGTCCCATGCAGAGACGAGGTGCTATGAGCGAGTTGATGGTGCCAAAGAGAAGTGACGGGATAACAATATCGCAGAAGTTATTGCAACATGTGAGATACATTGTATGGAAATGATATGGCAGTGTCTTTAGCCATCTTGGTATCAGGGTGGATAAACTGGTTACGGTACGCCAGGAATAGTGTGGCCGCCGAATCGGTCTGGTCAAATGCGTCATGATGAGTGAGAAGAGTTTTAATTTGCCCGTGGATGTTTGAGAAACTGATATTGGCTACATGATTCCGCAACAAGAAACAATCGGAAAGATCTCTTTAAGTAATATATGATTCATCAAGCAACTTGAACCATGCCCACATCAAAAGCTTGCATTGCAATAACCATGCTCACGAATTATTTCATAGCCTCTCACTTGGCGACTCATCATCCGCGTTATTCCAAATAACAGTCTACAAATGCTACGTGTTATGCACTTGTCTCATAGCCGTCTCTACTGTCAAGGTAGATAAAGCCTCGAATCTCGCTTAGTCCGACAATCCTTCATCTGCTTCGCCCGCCGCCTGTATCATGATTTCTGCTAATTGAGCTCAGCCTCTTCTTTCACCGCTGGAGTAGAAATGCGAGACAAGGCGCTTTTGTGCCCTGGAATACTCAGCTTATCGAGATGAGATGAGACATCTCTCGTCTTTACGTGAGATTTCAAAGCTGCAAACATTTGGGCCCATCACAGATCAAGATCCGCAAGATCTAAGTCAGATGGAATTCGTGTGGTGAGCAGCGGGGTGCAGATCTTACCGCTTCCGGTTGTGCTTTCGACTTGGATATCGCTTGACCCGAAGTAGATATCGAAGTGTTGGAGTTCCGAGAATGATGCCCATGGACCCTGATCTGGCCAGATTTGGGAAAATGATAAGAAATGAAGGATTCAAGCATTAATATCCTTCAAGGTAGTGCAAAAGAATTTACAAAGAGTTGCATCATGTTGGGAAAATGATGTTTCGGGCCACGTGCCTGGGGTATTCCCGAAGGTTTGGTCTGCATGGCAAGCGACAGAAGTTCGCTGCAGTCAGCGTTGCATTGTCCCTAGGCTTGGTACTAGGCGTGACTGGATGGAATCTGGCTCCGGAACTTTCTTTGAACAAGGCTGAGTCTCTGTCATTGTAGCCACAAGAAAACTATTTATGGGACGCGTATGCTGTCTTAGCTAAGGGAAAGGGACACTGTCAGACCCAACGACCCGAACATACGCAGGTAGGTCATGATTACAATGTGCATTTTACGAATGTACGATGCATTCTGTAAGGGTATGTGAGCCACGTAGAATGTATGGTGCATGTTGCTCAACCATAACGCAGTTCAATGCGGTTGAGCTTGTTCTGCTATAGATGCGCAGTCAACGGTAGGAAGTGGCACTCCCGGTATCCGGCTCGTCAAGAATAAATCCATGCGGATGTGTACATGGTAAATCCACCGTTTCATTTGTCGATGATGTCTGAATCTTGTCGATGATGCAACTGATTGGTAACAACAGCAACGTCTTGTCTGTGCCCATCGCGTCTCGCTTAATAGTGTTGCACTGCTACAACAATTTGGTCTTGGCATCTATGGCAGTATAATCCCCCATTTTTTTTCTTTTGTTGGCCCTGTATTCGTGCTACCTGCCTAATGTATATTTGCAGACCCTGTCGATCTTGCTGCCCCTGGCGGCGCTGCGGCTTAAGCACCCTAGCGAGTGCGCTGATCGACCAATGCGGTTTGTCAATAATTACTGTGATATCACCAACAAAGACCCAACATAGTTCACATTGAGGATTTGATCACATCGCAGAGTCAATAGTGTATTAATTTGCAGGGCCTAAATCAATGAATGGGAAAAGCAACCATTCGACCAGGTCTGTGGCAAATTCGAATTAAAAAAAAAAAACGAATGCTCAGGCCGAATGTCACGTTTTAGCGTTGTATTGCTTACAGCGGAGTTTCCAGAGACAGTTAGCATAGCGACTGTGCTCTGAAGACTGAGACATACAGGTTGGTGGGCTTGATCACTAAACTGATAGGGCCAGGAACAAATAAGACCACATTTATTGAGAACAAGAACATTGAAGCACACGCGAGTTTAGACCGAATGACAGAAGATAAGATATTGGTCGTCATTGATTTTCCCGTAATATATGTTGGAACTTTCGACTCATTATTTGTTTGTCCTAGATTCTCTTGGTCCGAACTCCGGATAGTGGAACGCAACATGCGCCGAAGAGCGAAATACTGAAGACGAAGCACTGCGGGGCTAACGCAATGTGATTGGTCGGAATTGACGACTATCTCGGTGCGATAAACGACCGGCTCGTCAATCGGCTCATGTCCCGTCACGATGGTAATCCAGCCAGCCACTGCGACATGATCTATGCCGAGGAAAATAGTGGTGCCAACCAAGCACTCAAAGCACTGCCAAATCATTGTCAATCCCGAGAAGATGCGCTGTAATCTGGTTTGCACCAGCTCGTTATCCTGGCAAATACCTTCTGATCTTGAGCCTGAACGTCATGGGCACTGAACCCGCCACCTCCGGCAGGCGGAGAAACGAAAAGGGCCGGTCTAAGATTGGTGAGAACTCCATTCTGACCTGCATCACAGCGCCTCGTGAATGTCAGAGGAAGTCAGATCAATGTGACGTCTGTCAAGTTCGCTACATCTCAGCATTTCTGACTCTGCTTACCAACAGGATGCCTGACCTGCCGCGAGAAACATGTCAAGTGTGACGAGCAACTTCCCGCGTGCCGCAGATGCAATCGCCTGGGCCTTGACTGCCGGCCATTCTGGTTGAAGACGGTAAAGGCTCCGCAACCGTCCCGGTCAAGATGTCGAATTCTGAGGCCCAAAACCTCTGCTGCGCAGCATATTTTTGATCATACGGAGACTTCGTCGCCTCTGGCCGAAGCGAGCGAGGCAGATTATAATGCATGCCTCCAGCCAGCCATCTTGCATTCTCCGGACCTGACCCAGCGGGGTGATGCCATGACTTCATGGCTTCTGGCGTCTCCTGCAAATACCGAAAAGCATGCCCAGCATCTGAATTCTACTACTATAGATGGCTTTCAAAGCCACGAATCAGACACAGAAAGGGCATGGCTCTTGGAGAATGACATCATCGCAATTATATCCAACGTCAGGAATGACCTTACACAGACTCAAATACCACCTCAACCGTCATCATCCCATATCGCATTGCCCAATGCTCTTGTCCTCAGCTTGAATGAAAGGCGCGCTCTCCGTCACTATGAGACGGCCTTTACAGCAACACAGACTACAAAAGATGTCCAATGGGCACTGCCGACGCTTCTACTGCGACAGGCATTGCACTGCAGCACAATGATGCATTTCATTCTAGCTCTCTCGCTATTCGATCTTGACACGAAGTCCGATTCGATTCTCGGCAATCGAGTACTGGCTATTCATCATTTCAATGCAGGAACCTCGAGGTTGGTCAGTGTACTGGCGAACACAACGACATATAATCACGTGGAGATTCTATGGAGCTTTTACTGCATTTATGTATGCGTGTCGAAGCAGAAATGCATTGACAAGGACAAATTGAACAGGCTGAGTCGGACTGTCTCTCAGCACCTGACAGCCTACTTAGTCGACTGTTTCACTATAAACAGTGATGGGTCGACCGCTTTTGATAGCCACGAGGGCACTGTAAATACGCTATCATCTCCCGCGACGAAGAGTTTATGGTGTAAGTTGCTCTTCTGGATTTACCAAGAAGACGCATCATCAGCGTCTTGGGGTTGTAACGCTGAAGTCGCCCAATATTTCGCCCAGCACCCCGATTTTACGAGACATATTTGGGAGCTATCACGGTCGACACTGATGCTCAACTGGGGACTCGAGTACCCAGAGAATCAATGTTTTACGGACATGGAACTTTCGCACGTGGTTGACTTGAGCGTTGACCTCACTAAGCTTCGCTTCCAAGTGACTAAATTCGGCCGTTCGTGTCATTTTACCGAACGGTTGGCTCAAACTGTAGAGCTAAGCTTGCGTTCCTTAAAAGCTGCAAGTTGCCTTTACCCCTCTCTTCTACTTCTGCCACACTAACAATACCAACAGAAATATATGCTGATTTTCAAAATGGTTGCCTCATCTGCGGTAAAAACGACAGAAGCCACCACGTTTGGAGCTGCAGCGGTGGCCATTTTCCACGCGATCGAGATATGCTATTACTTACACTTGGCTAGTCATACCAAGGACGAAAGACGTGAGGCTGTTAACGCTTCCTTGACAAAGTTACTTCATGCAGCGCGCCAAGTCTTCTCATATAGCTCTCAAGTCCCCCAGCTTGACTTTTTCCAATGGGCGCTCTTCATTGCAGGAGCGGCCACGGAAGACGCAATTCATGCAGACTGGATATCAGATCATATTCCGCCATCGCGTTTGAAATTCGGCTTCAATATGATCCTGAGTCTTAGAACCAGCATTGGGCCGGTTGTGGATATGGAAATCATAAACAAAATCCTTGCTGGGTGGTATCAGCTTGAGGATTGTAATGATTGACCAGTGACTTCATATCACAAATTGAAACTTTGCACTCAAATTTGACATCGTATTTAGATGATAGAGGATTTACCGCACGCAATGTATGTTCTAGTGAATTTGAATTCATTTACTTCATGCTATGAACTCAGCGCTGCAGTATAGGGCAACAGAATATGCATGATAGCCTAATCGAGCCAAGCGCTGATAGCTCCAACGAAGAGACAGAGCAGAGCAGAACCAAAATCAACTTTCTCCCTCCGCTGATTTACTAGCCAAGACGGGCGACAGCCTTGCCGAGAGATCGTCTAAGCTGTTGATCAGATTCGATTGGGGCCATTTAGCCAGTGGATCCCATCGTCTACAGGGTCCAATTAGAGGCGAGACACGGAATAGAGCCCCTCTCAGTTATATCAATCAAATTCCAATGAATAAAGGGAATAAATGCTGACTTTTCTTTTTCGAAACCAAACAGAATTAAAGAAACTTACCAATTTCACATGATTGGTATTTTCATTTTCATCCTCGAACAGATATGACGGTTGTATCGTTACCCAACGTACCGGCCTTAGCCGATGTTGTACTGTCTGCCACGGATGAGCAACAAATTCTCCTTGACACGGCAGAAAGATTCCATCAACAGTTATGGGATATTAACAAGACGGTATGCTTAAGAATACGCACAAGCTATCCATTGGGATTCACCTGACCTCACTAGATTCATGACAATCCGGAATTGTGCTACAAGGAGTTTAAAGCACACGACGCAATTACTTCATTCCTGGAAGCCAATGGCCTTGAGACTACGAATCATGCCTACGGCCTAGATACATCATTTGTTGCAGAATACGGTCAAGGAGGCCGGCTGGTGACGCTGTGCGCAGAATATGACGCCCTGCCGGGCATTGGTCATGGCTGCGGCCACAATCTGATTGCAACCGCCGCAATCGCCTCCTTCCTGGGCGTTGTGCATCTTATAAAGTCTGCCAATATCCCAGGACGAGTCCGCTTGCTCGGCTGCCCGGCAGAGGAAGGAGGCGGCGGCAAGATCAAATTGATCCAAGCCGGTGCCTTTCACGGCGTCGACGCCGCCTTGATGCTCCACCCGATACCGCCAGTAGATCGCGACCATCCCGATACAACTGGCCTTTTCGACGGCATCTCGTATGGCACATGTCTGGCCGGGAGTCGGTTCCGGGCCACGTTCAAGGGCAAAGCGGCACACGCAGGTGCCATGCCCTGGCTCGGTGTCAATGCTCTCGATGCGGCGACCCTGGCGTACACGGCTGTGGGCATGCTGCGACAACAAATCATGCCTCACGACCGCATAAATATCATCATCAAGGAGGGCGGAACCAGCAGCAATGTCATTAGCGACAGATCAGTGATTGACGCTTGCACGAGATCTGCGACACTAAAGGAGATGGTGCTCTTGCAGGACAGAGTGGTCAAGTGCTTTGAGGGAGCCGCAATTGCGACGGGCTGCGATGTTGTAGTGGAAGAAGAGTAGGTTTTCGGACATTCTACTTTCATGCATTCTACGTTGGGAATGCTAATCATGTCGACAATCAGAGGAGAAGCTTATGCTGATTTGCGCCCGAACGAGACACTCTGCACCGAGTTCACGGAGGAGATGCGCCGAGTGGGCAAAACGTATTATTGTGACTTGGGCAAGAAAGATGTCGGAGGTTATGGAACCGATATGGGCAATGTGAGCTACGAGTGTCCCTCTTTTCATGGAACTTTCGTTATCCCTCTACGTGACGGAGAAAATATTCATGGTCCTGGATTTACCAGAGCAGGAGGGACAGAGGAGGCATTCAACACCGCTCTTGAGGCAGCAAATGGCATGGCCGCCACCGCCTGGAAGGTCCTTCGCGACCAAGAATTTGCTTCCAAAGTGATGGAAAAGTTCGAGGCAGACAAGGCGTTGCGATGATACTATTTCGTATCAGATACTCTAATGTATTTCGCTAGCTGTGCTGTGACGTTAGATCACCAACACCCTTGTCTTTCTTGCACGGTCGTTCCAAAAAGCAAGGGCTGATCCGCCGTCGCTCAGTGCAACAATGATAGTTGACGTTGGATTTCATAGCTCATGTGAGAAGCTATGCTTTAGCTAGCCTGTGGATGATTCACATTATAAGAACGCACGGCCGATGCCCGGCCGACTGATAATTGGTTTCCATGTTATAGACAACTCCAAAGCTTCCATCCGGTCAAAGCGTGTAGCAACAGCGAGTTTCAATTCTTTTCAATAAATTAAGTATACTGGACAATGGCAAAGCTTGTATCACAATTGCTTGCTCGCTTGACTCTGTTTAAAAGGCCATCCAACTAAGACTCCTTATTTTTACTGGAATAAACTACTGAATTATGCAAATATATCACATGCCCCTCTCTAAACAGCCTGTCCAAAGGTGTCACAAATTCCCCTTCGCGTTACATATGTGCATCGCAATCACCAGGTAAGCTCTCCATATGGCGGCCCCATCCACGAAAGGGAGAGCAAGACGGTTGAACTTGAAGCTCTCATCCCTTTCACTGACTGAGATGACTGTAGGCACTCATATTCAGCTTTTTTGGGGCGCGCCTTGTTTCTTGCTCGGCAAACCTGGCGGCTGGGGGTCCCTGAGGCTTAATTTTCTGGGCCAAGGCAAAATGGCGTCCAGTTCGCTGCAGATCCTTTCCGATATCCTCACCACGCCGACCAACTTGCTGTGAGAAGTACTGGCTTTGCCCCGTTTTCAACAGCCCGTCTTGCTCGAGGCGACCCAGCGCCCCGCCCACAAAGTTCTGGCAATTGGTTCCGCGGCTGACTCTGGGGATGTTTCTTTCATCGCTGGCATAGCTTCTGATTGATGCCCCTGCCATGGCCGCTTCGCCTGAGGAGAGCTTTCCAACCACAGAGCTTCCATACAAGGATGGAGAATGAAAAACCTGTCGTTTCTCATCATAGTAAAACTGGTCTTGGTCCTTTTGAGCATCGCTCCGGACATGGTACATCGTCCCATCGTCTGCTCCCTTGGTGCGCACATAAGCGGCCCAGTGACCGTTCTCGGGACTGTAGAAGTTGACGGATAGCTCGCGGTCTCTTGTGCTGCCGCCAGCAGATTTGGCGCTGTCGCCGCTGCCAGATCGAGATGGAGTTGACGGCATGATGAGCGCAATAGGATAATTAAATAAACGTGAGAGATAGTAACTTTGCTCGAACAGAGAGGAATTGAGGACAGTTGCGGGAATATAATGAGAAAAATACAATAGTCCTACGGTTCAAAGATCATGGCGTTATATAGGTGTTAAACTTGTATACTACAGATATTCTTAGAGTATCTCTGTTGGTGATCTCTTTCTGGTTGTCTCAAAAGAAGCCTGAATGCCGGCCGTAGCCGCTGGGTACGCGCTCAATTTTATGAATATTGACCTCACCTGCAATGCCATGCACGCCATCTGTTTTTCTCATGATTTGAAATATTCGTACGGTGTTGGCATTCATTTCCATGATCTAGGCCATAATAGCAGGCCATAGCCGCGAGGTTGCAACTTACGCGCCTTTGGAGGACAGACCCCACGCTAGCGCTTACCAAGTCGACCCAGATTTGGCCAAGAAGCGCTTACAATGCCTAGGATAGTGTATAGGTACTAGGTAGGTAGATTGTGCCAGTATTGCCAGTCTTTCTAAGATGCACCTCGCACACCCGCTGATTGGACTTCAGGCGCGAAACATTCTTGCTGATTGCATGGCGCGAGTTGGGAAAACGTCCTGAGCAGCACCCAGGGCAGTGTACAGTATACTAAGTATGTACATATGCAAAGAACGCACAGTGATGGAGCAATTTGGCACTGTCCCTTCTTTCAAGACAGACGCTAGCCGGATTTGTAGATAGGCTCGTTTCCCAGGGAAATCAATTAGTGGCATGGCCACTGATTAAGGCACCTTCTGCACCCCTCAAGTTTGTTGTCGACTCCATACTCTTTTTATCGCTCCTCGTTTGCGTCGCCTGCCCTTCATCAACTGCAGGAGACGTCCCGGGTATCGAGAATGGGGGACCAACAACAAGCAACAGAGAACCCTGGCGTCCAAGATGAACAAAGCGCAAAACCTGTTTTGGTAATCTCAAAGTTGCTTGGTCCTCCTCCTTATGTCCTGGATCCAGAAACGCTGGCAGACTCCTTCAATCCATTCCCTTGGATGAAAGGCAACTCATTCCGGCAAGTTGACGAAAATACATTAGTCAAGTACGGCGGCAGTGTTACTCTAGTCGAGGCAGAAGCCATGGACTTTATCTCTCGCCAGACCAGCGTCAAATGTCCGCAAGTCCTCGGTGCTTATGAGCTCGACGGCACTGCGCATATTCTCATGTCTTTTGAACATGGGAAGTTGTTATACGAATTCTGGCAAGACGCCTCGGAGAGCGAGAAAGAGGCAGTGATTGGCAAGCTGCAGCACTACCTCAAGGAAATGCGAGGCATCAAAGGCGACTATGTGGGTGGCTTCAATCGCAATCCTTGCAGGGCTGGCGAGTTCGAGTGGGACTTCGACAAGACAGATCACAAATATGGACCGTATGCAGACGAAGATGGCTTTAACCATGGAATCGCAGAAGCTCTGTCACGGGCGAGCCCAAAGCCTGACGTGGAGGATCCCGAATCCCCGGAGTATAACAGGATGTATACTATCCAGCAACTGGTGCACTCCCTTCGTGGCCACGACATAGTGTTCACACATGGTGACCTTCACCCCGGCAACATACTCGTACAGGATGATTTGAATGTGGTTATTTTGGACTGGAATACGGCAGGTTTCTACCCCGCCTACTGGGAGTGGTATAAGGCTACCTGGCACGGCACGTTTATGCCGAGTTTCATACGACAGGTTGAGCGATATATCCCACCTTATTGGATAGAGGCCAACATCTTGAGTCAGATTTATAACTGGATAGTTGGATGAGCATGCATGACATGTCGTGTCAGAGCCCCCTAAGTAGTGGCGTTGGTAAAGACATTGTTACTAAAACGAGACCTATATTCATAGAGACGATAATGCAAGTACCGAATAAAGAAACTGGGCTTCACGTTGTGCCTACCAAATGCAAACTTTTGAGAAAGATTTATTCGTACACTTGCTATTGACAACGTATGTTCTAAGCGCCAAGAGAGCCGTTACGCGAGTGTGCTTCGTGGCTATGCAGTGATTAGGTGGGGATGGTTCACAACCAACAAACACAATCGCGCGCGTAACTAGGGCCTATCCTGCAGCCTGTTGAGCCTTGAATAAATCTCCCAGTCGCAATCGCAGTCGCAATCGCAATCGCAATCGCATTCCCCTCTCCTCTCAGACATTACGAATTTTCCGACTTGAGGGTTTTGAGGCACCATCAAAAATTACAGGACAAGCAGAGAAAAGCAATGCCCGCTCCAGCCGTAGATAACCATGCCATCTCTGTCGTTCTCTGGGGCGGCGACAACCCGAACGAGCCTCTGGCAGATCCAGTCGGCCACATGGCGCTCGCCGTGCACGCGGACGTCTCTCAGCCGGCCATCTGCCATCTTCACCACGTACGGTGCCCGAACCAGGTGCGCTTCATATACGAGTCGCGACCCCAGCAGCCCTTTGCCTCGGACCCGGCACCGCGCGGCCGCTGCGAGCTGCGCGGGGGCTTGAGCGCCGGGGATGCCCGCACCGCCAACGACGTTCTAGCCCGCTTCGGCGCCGACGAGACACAGCTGCCGTTTTACGGCGAGGGTAACTGCCACAACTGGACAGCAGGCGCAATTGGGGCGCTTGAGGAGGCCGGTCTCGCCGAGCCGGGCGACGCCGCAGTCTGGGCTGCCCTGATTGGCAAGGGGCCAAGGGCCATGCAGCACAGCTGGGTCGACGGAAGTCGGAGGCGGTGGATAGATTGCGATGAATTTAGCCAGGCTTGGTCTGGACCAGTGGACGCGAGATGGGGTGAAGGGGGCGAGGCACAAGCAGCGGCTTTGGCAGCAGCAAACGCAAGTGCCAGTAATCTCAAGGATCGTGTGGCTAGATTACAAAAGTTGCTAGGCGGTGAGCATAAGTAAGGGCAATTCTCTTCTGGCTTGTGATATAGTAGACGTTTGCTCTTCAACTTTCAAAGTTCTTGGGAGCGAACTTCCTGCTCCATCAATGTCTTACTGCCAGATATTGTGCCATGCTTCCGCAGGTGACCCCTATAACTATGGTACTTTTGGAGGCCGATATTCACTGACACAAAACGGCCCTGGATAGCGGTCCGGTCTGAGGCGACATCGTGCATAATATATAAGTGTACATAGTACATATACATCGTACACATCGATGTGTTCTCAGGGACCATGTTATTACTGGCAAAGGAATGCTTATCTCTAAATTGCTTCTCCTCGGCCCCTATACTACAATAAACACATCGAATTTAAAAGATATATAATCCGAATAACAAAGGTACCTTTACTGCATGTGTAATCAAATTAACTATTAGCATATACTCTATACTTGTTACATCTAGAGAGTCTCTTGTTAAGCTACATAAATCTAGACGGGCGTATATCAATTGATTAAATTATATAATACGTCAGAGAACTAGTCGTCTCCTAATGTGTGGGGGCGCATTCTGAGGAAACTGAGAGTTAGGGTGAAGCGCGTCGGGGGCTACTCAGCAGAGCCTCATATGTGCATATCCAGAATATTGTGCCGCTGCTAGTCAGTGCTTAGAATAATTCTGATATAATGGCAGGGTAATCTGGGATAGGAGTAGACACGAACATAGTGCGACAACAATGGCAAAAGAAATATTGACGCTGGAAGCTGTGCCTCGCCTTTCTCTGTTCCGCATTCTCGATTCCACACCTCATTGTTTCTGGCATCGCTTTCCATACCTGGCTGGTCCCAGTAGCCCTCTGGGGGCCTCAACCAAGTACACTTTTGATCCATAAAGGCTTACTTTGGCTTGACCAATATTGCCGTAGCGTGGGGGTCGTCCGTGTAAAGTCCATAGTTCACGGAACAATCCAGCTGACACATCGAGGTAAATAAGTTTAGAGAGGCGGGGTGGTGTGTGTGGACAGGCTTGTCTCGTGCCAGCTAGTCGAACCAATATTAAAGACCAGGAGCACCGAGGAATTGGAAGCGTCATTACTGTCTTATTCTCAGACTCAACACCATGTCACTCCCAACGACCCAAACCGCGGCTGTTTGTGCCAAACTCGGCGGAGGTGTCAAGTTGGTTCACGATTACCCGGTGCCCAAGCCGGCGCGGAACGAGGTCTTAGCAAAGGTCCTTTATACCGGTGTTTGCCAGAGCGGTAAGTGCCTGCCAATTCGCTGGCCAAAGGGAGCGACACAGCAAGCTGAGTTTTGAAAAAGATCTGCACACCCAACAGGGCACGGCTTCCGGGCCAGATGGACGTCCAATCACTAAAGTCAAGCTTCCGCATGTTGGTGGACACGAAGGTGTCGGTCGCATCATCGCTCTGGGCCCGGGATGCGGGGATGAACTCAAAATTGGTGGTTTTGTCGGTATTAGATTTGCCAGCCGAATCTGCCGACGCTGCGACTTTTGCTTGGCAGGGAAAGAACAGCATTGCATCAAAAGCACGAACCACCTTCATCATGAGGACGGAAGCTTCCAGGAGTACATTGCTCTTGATGCTGACTACTTGACCATCCTTCCTGATGATATCGATCCAGTTGTCACTGGACCTGTTCTTTGTGCTGGTGTGACGACATACAAGGTGAGCCCATAATAACATATTCTATGAAAGATTGGCAGTGATAACAAGATAGTAGGCTGTGAAAAATGCCAATGCCAAAGCTGGGGACTGGGTGGTTGTGATCGGGGCTGGCGGGGGATTGGGTCATTTGGAAGGTTTGTTGCTCGAACGATTTTCAGAGCTTGCGCTTACAGAGTTGATCAAGAATCTAACATTCAAGTCTTTAGTGCAATACGCTCGGGCTCAGGGAGCTGTAGTGGTGGGCATTGATGGAGGATCCGACAAGGGTGACTTTGTCAAATCCATTGGTGCGAGCCATTATGTTGATTTCACGACCACTTCTGATCTCGTCCAAAACATATTGGACATTACGAATGGTGGAGCAAATGCAGTTATTGTTACAGCCGGGAATGCCAAGGCATTTTCTCATGCGGCTGAGATGCTCAAGGTAGGTGGAACATTGAGCTGCGTGGGCATTCCTCCTGGCAAAGGTTTCATCGAAACTCCTATAAGTGCCATTGTGATCAAGGGTTTACATATCACTGGCAACCTTGTCGGCTCTCTCAAAGAGTGCCTGGAAGCTGTGGATCTGGTAAGGCGAGGAGTGGTCAAGCCGAAAATCTCGGTCCGTCCCTTTGCGGACCTGCCCACTGTATATGAAGAGCTTCTGAAAGGCGATGTTGCAGGCCGAATAGTGCTCAAAATTGCAGGCAATGATTGATGAAAAGGGATGAGCGTAAAATGCCATCAATAACACATTGGCCAGAATGGAGAAATCGAGGATTGTGAAGTAGATGTGCATCCGTAGATATTGACTCACAAGGCAATGTTATCATACTCCCACATGATCAAGAAGTTTCATATCGATTTTGATGTAGAAGCTCTTCTAGGGTTGGTAATATGATATCTCGTGGACCCCTACCAGAGAGTTTCGATCAAATATGGTGACTGCGATACCGAACTTTGTTAACACACATTACTGCAACTGATACAATCTCTCAAATACACCGGTGGGAAGAATGATATATATACATTTATTTATGTGCAGAATCCCACTGTCGCTAGCAAAACTCAACCCGGCAAAGCGAATGACCGTGGCCAGTAGAATGGAATGAATGCGAAATCACCAATAATCCTTAGGCGGCCAATGCGGTCAGTTTGCTGACACGTCCTATGTACGAATCCGGGAGTATAAATCTCGGCATAATTGCGGATCCTTGGGAGGTGACGGTCGTGGTTTGTGAAAGTTTTAAAGATATATATTAGTTCTTAACAGGTGCTCTGTGGGGTAAAGATGGATCCCACTATGAATAGTTACATAGCATGTATACCTGTTAGGCAAGGAAAATGTAACGATCTGCCATGTAATCACTCAGCCTTACCTGGACGATGACCTGCCCGAACGACGACCGAGCAAATCTCGCGATCACAGCTACCCCGCATATCCTTAAATATTGCGACGTTTTGACCGTTCAAAGTCATGCAAGACATTGATTGTGTCTTTTTTCCAATCCCTTGTCTAGCAACCATTCGTTCGGTCAAAGCTTCTACAGAGTATTCTGCAGCACGCTCTTGTCTAGAACTCACTTGTCTAGAAGAACGATTGATCGAATGACCATCTTACCCAAGCTAGAAGTACCTTGCAGGTAGCAATCATCATTGTCAGATTGCTGCAGATACTTGACGATAGTAAGTGCTGTATCTTTACTGGACCTTGCCCATGTTATATCGTATGCAGCTAGAAATTCCGGCTGTCGTGTCCTGCAAGTGTAATGCACCTGTGGACTTTTACTGGCAAATTAGCGGATCATTGGATCACCCCTGGCTAAAAGTAGGGGTCTAGCGGGGCCCAATGCCACGGGTGAGGTCTAGGACCTAAAAGCCAATATCCCAAGATACTTGCCTTGGAATAAGTTGGCAGACAATGTAAAGATTGCTGTTGCTATTGATATGGAATGCAAATTTAAAAGCCGAAATGCCTAGAAATATTCTCCCATGACTCAGTACATGGAACAAATCATTGCCTTCCAGCCCGGTTAACCATCAGCTTTGCACCACTGCCAACACTGCAGATGCCTTGTAGCTGGTCTCAGCGGGCAAGATGCTAACCTAGGTAGCTAGGTCGAGAGACCCTTGCCCTGCACCAGTCTCTAGAAGCCTGCTTTACTCATCTTGCCCCGCACAAGTGCATTGAGATTCTGTGAGTGGTCATCTTCGTATGACCTAGGGACACTCATGCCATTCGAGTTTGCCGGCAACAGGCACGCTGATATACCCCGCTTCCATCTGAATGCATCGACGACATGACATGTAAGCAAAGCTGATAATGAATGACATTGATCCATCTTTTCCAATTACAACGCCGCTGAGATCTCAACCATATATTATAACACGTGTGCAAGCCCGAAACCCTCTTTTCCCAAGGCATGGGAACTTGCTGCAACCCTCATCAAGGCGCCTTTTGCTTTTCTCGGCGGATATGATGTCCATGAAACCTTTGCAGGAAAGCCTCCACGCCCTGGATTCCATCAGAATCCGGCATTGGATGGCCCACACCAATCCGTCCAAGTTCTCTGCTGCGCAGACTGGGCGATCAGTAACGGATGACTTGAATGAGATCAGAGATGAGCGAGAAAAGATGCAACAGGAAAAGTTGAGCTGGATCCATATTCCCAGCAACGACATGGCTTTATGCGAGGTAAATACAGACACTACATAATTGTTTCTCTATCCTACCATTAAGAAACAATTAAGTTAAATGCTGTAATCACAGGATGTTCTCAAGCGTATCTGCTGCGAAGCTCAATACAAAGCACTGCTCAGCCATGATAAATGGCGCTCCCACGCACAACAAGAAGAAGAGCAAGGGGGACTGTATTGCGCGCCTTTTATGAGCGCAGCTGGGTTCCAACTTCGTTTCCGTAAGCTTATAGATGCGAGTTGAGTATGCTTGGCCCAGTCTGTCAATTGTCTGACGATGCGTACAGATGTAAAAGACAATCAATGGACAGATCTACAAAAACACGATGTGGAGGGGAAGGTGATTAAGAACACAATACTATATGTAAGATTGTCCTTTTCTTGATTACCGCCGCGCATTTTTCTTCTTCAAAGTTCCGAATGCTAAAACTCGTTTGGAGATGCCTTACTTGCACTGGGGCGATGTCGATGATTCCAGACGCGACCTAGATGTGTCTCGAGGCCGTCCAGATGGCACACTACATCCCAGACGAACTCTTGATGAGGCGGACAATCCGTATCTTCCAGAGAAACAAATGACTGAGCGGAATAAGGATCAAGTTGTCACTCGATACTTGAGAAACAAGAAATCCTTCAAGTTGACACGCATAATGGTCGATCAGCTCTGGATCTGGATCCTCGACGACTGTACGTGTCCAAGGTCAATGTACAAATTTGAACAGGCCACCAAGATGCGTTGGACATGCTAATTCTTCCCATCAATAGATACAATTGTCACTAGCTTTCCAGACACGCCTTGCGATTCCCAGCATTTTCACCAGAAGATCCCAAGCTGCCCACAGCACAATCTTGAGCACCTTGCCATATGGCAGGCTGAGCAAAGAGATGGCAACATAAATGCAAAGTCGCTGTCTTCTCACCTTCTGTACAGGTGTATTCGGATATTCTCTCCTCTCTCGTTGTACAGTAGTGCCGGACTGCGGTATTACAACTTCTTTCATTGGTCAATCGTACAACAAGTATGTCGGCGTAATCTTGAGGCATGAATACATTTCGGAAGCTGACGTTTACCAGAGAGCCGAAGCTATGCAAATCTTTGAAGACTACGGCAGAAATTCGGACGATTCTCTCATCAAAGGAAAGTTCTTCTCGAATCGCGACTTCAAAGCCATTTGGTTGACGCGAGATATACGCGACGAGCTGAAGATGCTGTCGAATGTGATAACACTGCAGCAAGATGCTCTGGTCACGCTCGACCATAAATTCTGCAAGGAGGAACTCAAGTCCTCGGCCAGGCGATACGAAAGGCTCATAGAAGAGACGCAGGCCGTTGAGGAAATGGTAAGTATTCTCCGCAGTCACTTGGCAAGGTCCAACACTGACTTTGCTATCTCAGCTAGCCAAGGCCTTGGACATCAAGCAAGCTTTGATAGGTTTGCATCAGAACAAGATTAGTCTCAAGCAAAACGGTTTCGTCTTGACATTCACAATCGTGACGGTGATCTTTGTTCGTATTAACCACATTCTCCGGATTGGCCGTTGTGCATGCTTTGCGGCTAACACACTAATCGACAGCTACCGTTGGGCTTCATTAGTTCTATATTCGGCATGAACGCGACAGAATGGAGTCCTGACTCATCTTGGAGCATAGGTCACATATTTGCGTACATGTGTAAGTATGTTTGAATCCGGCTATAGTTCGCTAGCTACTGAAAATTGCATTAGGGCCCATCAGCTTGACGATAAGCTTTACAGTGGCATTATTGTCCTTGTATTCGGCAGCAAAATTGGAATCCTACACGTTCGAGCTTCCAACACTGAGATTTCGGGAACGAAATAAGAAAAAGACTTTCAGAGATGAAGAGCGCGGGTTTTCTCCAATGGCTCGAATATGATTAGCGGGGTCTGCTCATTCATACTTGGATATCTGTCAATGGAGTTAGGTATTCAAGGTTTTGGCAATGGTTTTGGTGATGAAAGTAATGGGCGTTTCGACCAGGAGGTCCGGCATGGCTTCTCTTTTATCCACGTCCCTCTCATTGGTCATTTGGAAGCAACAATACAAGCCTCACGTTTTTTAGATGTTGCGACCCTTCAGTCCCTCAAAATCATGTAAGACACTGGATGTATCTTTGTTCCACTCCCCGCTCTCCAACAGCCATTCGCACTCTCGCCATCTTGCCTGAGTGACTCTGCGCCGAGCTTCACCGCGTATCCTCGCACGAATGCTCTTTGAGATTCCCTGAGCGGGATAAGTCACCAAGCCCGTGACGGCGGAACTGGTCTTGGTTACGAGCCCTACGGAGCCCTGGCTCAAGCCCTTTATGGCGCCAATAGCCCCCTCCTTGCGCTTGGCTTCGTACGTTCGCATGAAAACTCCCTTTATCGCCCCGGTGATGCCCCCAACGAACGAGCGCCCGGCCACGGACACGCCACTGCGCAGGTCGTGAATGTGTTCGTGCTTCTCAACCTCTTCGCCCCAGAGCTGGGGAACGGCACGCATGCCTTCAGTAGCAGCAAGTGGAATGTCCACAAATACACCCCGCGTGGCTCGAGCTACTGCATTGCCCATACTGTGTGCCGAAGCCGATGCCGCGGCGCTCGCTTTGGAATGTGAGTTTGAAGATTTCAAGGATGACTGTGACGTGGTTTCCAACGATGTTTTGGATGCCGATTTCAAAGACTGCTCCGGTAATGCTTCCAAGCGATTCGAACTTTTCTTTGCAAGAGACTTTTCAGTAGACATCAATATCGTGTCCGTGTCCACTAATGGGAGCATGGCAGCGCCGCTGGGAATGGCTACGGTGCCCTTGGTGGTTGCATCACTTGGACCATCGACCTCGGGTTCTGACCGCTCACGACGGTATTCTTGTATCGGTCTGCGTACCATGTCAACCGTCGCATCAGCAACGCCTGCAACTGTCGAGAGGGAAGCGGCAGAAACAGCCGTGAACGGATCCCATCGGTGGTTTTCAATATCGATATTCCCCGTCTTGTGTCTTTATAACGGCCAATTAGCACGAAAAAGTAGGTTGCATCTTGGCTAGGAAATCTTACAGTCTCAAGTCCTTGAGGTCCACACCATGTTGACGAAGAACCAATGCAACCCCACGACACATCTTGACCTGCTTCCTCCCCCTTCCGTACGACCAGACTGCTGTCTCTTCGGGGAAAAAGTCGCATTGCAGCAATTCCTTTGGTAGGCTGCGATGGAAAGAGTCGACTGCGTTTTGAACGCCGTCTTCGGCAGCTATCTTGCATGCGAGCACCGAAGCGGCTTCCCGGGTCGTGGGCAAAAGGCAAAATTCGATTGCTTGAGCTAACCGCTGAGATGTCAGGGACTCATATGGAAGTGGAGGAGGTCCAGCGCCTGCCGCATTAACCACGGTTCCCCAAAATGGTTGACTATAATCCGTGATTAGCATCAGCTGGGTGGAAACGCGCTAGACGGAAACTCACTCGCCAAAGAAGGGCACGATAGCCGTTGGACATCCATATCTTAACCCGCACGCTGTAGTTCCAGCACCTCCATGGTGTACAACAGCGGCAACTTGTTGGAATAACCACTCGTGCGGACAGTCGCCAACAAAGAACAAGTCGTCTGATTCGTCAGCAGTCAGATTGCTCCAGCCTCTGGAGATTACGGCGCGAACTCCGGCAGCTTTGACCGCGCTCAAAACCATTGACATCAATCCCTCGGCATCTCCAACAACGATGCTACCAAAGCCAATGTAGATGGGGCGTGGTCCTGAGCTCAGGAATCGTGCGAGGTCGTCTGGAGGAGTGTAAGATGGAGGGTCGCGAAAGAAGAAGCCGCACACATCTTGAGAATTATCAGTCACTGATCGCTTTAAGGAAGATTAGAGAGAACCAACCGATATGCTCGCCCCAGTCGGATGGTTTGGCCACAAGTGATGGAGACCAACAATATGTGAAAGGAACCTTTAGCGATTCCACTAGATGAGGCCCTTCGGTCGATGGGACGGCCTCGAGGTCCAACGTCTCGACTCGCCAATGATTGACAATGTCTCCTAGTCTGAGTTTTAGTTAGTATGACTGACCGTTTCAGCTACATATAGACATAAGACATGAATACTAACCCTTGCCAGGTCAAGAAGTTCACCACTGAATAGGACACGAGGTTGGTTGAAGTGGACGACTTGCTTTCCTTTCTTTTCCCTTTGGAGTCAAGCGTCAATCCAGCCAGAGGTTGTGCGAATGCGCCCGTACTGCTCCAAGGCATTGTGAAAACCAGGTGACAAGGTATTCCCAAAGCTTCAGCACAGTGTACGTGGGCAAAGCTGGGCGGGTTGGCAATGATGGCGTCGGCGACAAAGGGAACGCCCGTTTCTTGATCCTCTGCCAGGCAAGACTCCCAGAAACCCTTGAGCATCTCCTCGTACATGTGGCGCTTGCGCGCAATGGCGCCAGCGCGGAGGGTCGCGAGGTCGGGGACAAGTCTGGGCGACGACACCATGTAGGCCATGAGTTCCGCCGGGTCACCGCCAACGGGGTGGAAGCCCAGACCCGAGGAGGTGACGAATTGTTGAAAGACATTGTGTGTTGCTATGCGTACTCGGTGTCCGTGTTTCTGGAGGGCGAGGCCCAGTGCGATGAATGGCTGCACATCTCCACGGCTGCCCACGACTTGGATCACGATGTTAAGTCGATTCGGAAAGGCTTCTGAGGTTAATCTTTGGTGTCCGTTGGGCGGGAAGGCTGGTGAGCTCGTGTGAGAATTGCTATGACAATACTCTGTGTTGGTTTCGATAGGTGTATAGGGTGGCGCCGGGATTCTTTCGGCAAACTTGCTTGTGTTCCCTGCTGATTCGGGGTTTTCTGGTAGTTGCTCGAGATCACTGTCGTGATTATGTTGTGGAGTTTGCTCGACAGCCTTGCCTTTGTTCATTTCACTTGAGGTCTACCTTTCTGTGAGTATTGAACTAACACGGCGGATGGTTTCAACGGACGGGACAGATACAATATTCTTCTGGTACTCAGGACGAAATGCCACATGTAAAAAATGGCCGGGTCTCGTACAGGGATCGTGGAAGTTAGAAAACCTTATGGATCGTGACGTAGCGCAGCGCCGAAAAATTTGCAAGATTCGAGAGCGACATGATACATCTTAAGACGTTCCCGACACGAATCATGCAGAGATGGCCCCGTGTTTACGGCGAAACCCCTAGATGGGTAATGATAATGAAGCAATTCGTGTTTATTCAGGTACCAGCGGCTGTGTATGAGACTTTGACAGACTTGCTTACACTAGGTTCGAACTATCTTTTTATCGCATTCATATGCGAAAATACTGGCCAATTATGATGAGGGTAACTGTTTTTAGTGTCTAAACAGAGTGTCCGTGGAGTGTCTTAGTAGGGACTAGGCATCTCCGGTCCACGCTACGCCTCGGAAAGTGATTTATCGCACCTGAATGCGAAAATATTGCCCAATAGCAGTGGGATATTTCAGGACTCGAGAGCCCGACTCGGCAGTTTGGTACTCGTTGCTCCACCTGGAAACCTCTAGATAATGGCCCCGTAATGTTAAAAACCATTCATGTCAACACCAAAAACGAAGTCATAGCTCGTGCTAGTTCTATCAAAAGTTCCATGATTGACATAGGTGTTCATGAAATACTTGTGATTTAGCTGATGCCTAAATCATGCGGAAATTTCCGATAATTCCTTGATCGAGCAGCTGTCAGAGCTGCGCACAGCAAAATTTCGATCGAATATTACTGGCACACAACGGTCGACGATTCTACAAGTCTGGAGCCAGCAGCGACCGTGGTCATTTCCTTCAAGTATCTCGAATCAACTCAAACAGAAGAAAGGACACGACATTCCCCTGAAACTGATGAATGTGAGTTCATTGCCAGTATTCCAGCTCCGAATCACTGATCTCAAAACTTACCTAAGAACCAGACGTACCTTGTTGAATTATACCACCCGACGACCCTGATCGAGCCGACCGTTCCCCAGTAATAATGGATAAATATTGGAATCTAAATGGAGGCCACGGCCTGATTGTGCGCACCGCCTTCCGGACCGGACAATTCGTCTTCGCAATTGTGGCCGCTGGTCTCTACGGCGCCGACCTGGCGTATTTCTCCCGCACAAATACAAAGGCAGATGGCACATGGATATTTGCGGAAGTTCTCGTCGTTTTCTCCGTTGTCCTATGCGCGGCTCATTGCATATTCACCATAAAACACCTAATGTGGTCTTTGTTGGACAGTTTCCTGGCTCTCATGTGGATGGTGGTGGCCATACTCGCTGGGCAGGCAGCCTTTGGGGATGGGCTCGTCTCGGGTGTCAGTGCAAAGAACACTCACGCCATGGCTTTGCTTTGGATCGACCTGATCAATATGGTGCTATGGTTGGCCACTCTAGTGGAAGCATCGCTACTCTGCTGCACCGCACGTACAGTTAGGAGGAAATTGGAGAATCTGGAAATGGATACATCAGAAGAGTCCAGGTCTGCCTAACCATGTAGACCATCCCAACGGATTTCGTTTAGCCAGCAAGGCTTTCCCTCTGAACCCGTGGCATGATATTGGCATCAAACATCATGTTGAAGCCATCGTATATCAGTGCGATTCCGCCGATGATCGCAAGCGAGGGAGTGTATACCAAGGATAATATCGCGTCACAAGATACTTAGGTTCTCACATTGACAAACGTTTTATGCCATTCCCTGCGTCGTCTCCACAAATCGCTGAGGCGGTGACAATGCCAGATCTTTCGACTAATCGAGAAAGCTTGTGTATTTCCAGTTCATGTTTGTCGTATTGATGACCTCTTCATCACCTTAGTATATAGGGGTTTCAAATTTACAGCTTGGCTACTATAATATAGACCCTCAATCATACTCAGTCATGTCCCAGTTTTCGTATTTGGTGCGAAAAAGCGAACCAAAGAATGATAATGGCAGTGAGGCGACATAATGGTGGGGACTAATTTGCCGAATTCATCTGGCTCCTGTAACATGTCGTTTCCCACACCCTGTCACGTCCTTTTCTCGTTCACTTTACTATTGTGTCATCCATGTTTTTCGCATCCCTATGGCTGTTTTTTTATGTGTAGCTGCATTCGGAATCGAGCTCCATGGAGAGCAAATGTTGGGGGCGACAATCATTTGCGAGCAATGCTCCCCAAACACCTTGAAAATATGTCTCCACAGTGGACATTGACAGTTCAAAGCTAGCTGCACTACCGGAATACTTTCGTCGATTGCAAGCCAGGTCAAGCCTTCTTAATGTACCTAGGGTAGTAGTATATATGTATATAAAATCCCGCTGGTGCTTGACATGTCTTGTGCTGTAACCTCAGAGCACAGCCGTAATTATGAAGCTCCTGGTGGCCTTTTTTCACACGCAATGGCTTCTGCTTGCAACTGCTGCGGCAGGAGTTCCCTTCCATGAATATGTGTTAGCTCCCACTGCACGAGTCGTCAGCCCAGTGTCACTTTACCAGACCGGCGGCAATGTTGAGAATGCTGCCGCGCTCATTACAGCCAACACAACTGAAGCCGAGTGTAACCAGTCGACAACGTTTACAGGAAATGGTTCGTATGTTACATTTGACTTTGGGAAAAATATTGCTGGAAGAGTCAGCTTCCAGGTGGATGCCGTGTCGGGATCGAGCGATTCGATAGGCTTCACATTCAGCGAGTCTTCAATGTACATTAGTGCCGAGCACTGTGATGCTGTCACTGACGGCATCTTTGACCTACCACAATGGTTCAACGACACCGTGCCAGGACACTACGAAGCCGGTCACGATTTCCAGCGGGGAGCTTTTCGATACCTCACAATCGTTCATAACACGACTGGCACTATGCGTCTCTCGAACGTAACAGTTTACTGGACTACATCTCCAGAGATGCAGGACCCGGCAGCGTATACTGGCTATTTCCACAGCGATAGTGAGAAGCTGAATCGAGTATGGTATGCAGGGGCCTATACCAATCAGATTTGTTCAGCGGATCCCACTAGGGGGGTTGCCTTGGGCGCGCCCGTGGCTGGCTGGTATTATAACTATACAATCTCGAGTAAGGATGATTATCCAGTTTTTCCCCCTCTTATGCGGTTCTAATGAACCCAGATGGAACCAGCGTTCTGCTCGACGGAGGGAAGAGAGATCGTGTCGTATGGCCGGGCGATATTGCCATCTCTGGACCTTCCATCTTTGTATCGACCAATAGTCTCGAGCCTGTTCGTAACGCACTAGACTCTCTCTTCCTGTACCAGGAGATGGATGGTCGATTACCTGCAGCGGGCTATCCATTGGCACAACTTTTTGCGTGGAGTTTTACTTACCACTGTCATACATTGAACGATGCCTATGATTACTTCATGTTCACTGGCGACACACTGTACCTTGCAAGCTTGTGGGACCAGTACACATTGGGAATCCATTACCTTCTGCAGTTTGTCGACTCATCGGGCCTCGCCAATGTGACCAGTACTTCGGATTGGGGTCGCAGTGGCATGTCTGGTCATAACATTGAGGTAAACAATCCATCTGTAACATTTATTGGCACGCATGTATCTGCTAATCAACGAACAAGGCAAACTCTATCCTATGTTATACACTCAGGAATGCCGTGAAGTTGGCCACAATAATGAACGATACCCGCGAGACCAGTAACTGGGAAGCCCTCGCAGTGGGAATCTCCACAGCGGCAAACGTGGTCCTCTGGGACGACTCTGTATCCTTGTACCGCGATAACGACACTATCGCAAACGGCTCTTCCGCTCCATCGTACCCACAAGATGGAAATGCATGGGCCGTTATCGCCGGCATTGCAACCGGTACTCGGGCCGTGGCTGTAAGCGATGCTCTAAAGGCACGATGGGTTCGTCCGTATGGCGCACCGGCAGTCGAGGCTGGGCAGACCATTTCTCCATTCACCACTGGATTCGAGCTTCAGGCGCACTACTTGGCGGGCCACTCGGACTACGCTGTAGACCTTATGGAGTTCATGTGGGCAGACTACATGCTGGATGATCCCCGAATGACAAACAGCACTTTTATCGAGGGGTTTGCGACCGACGGCACTCCCCTCTACCCCGTCTACGACTACGACCCTCGCGTCAGCCACGCTCATGGCTGGTCTACGGCTCCAACGTCGATGCTGACTTTCTATGCTGGAGGTCTCACAATGACTTCAGCAGCTGGCCAGACTTGGAAGGTTGCCCCTGCACTAGGAGGACTTCAGACTGTTCAAACGAGGTACGAGACTCCACTCGGGGCCTTTGTGACTGATTGGACAAACAATACACGTGGTCTGTCAGGGATATTCATCACTCCGAACTCAACCACAGGCGAAATAAATATTCCGCTGGCTAGTGGCGCACGAAAATTGGTTCTCGAGGGACCGGGCGGATCTGACGAGGTTGATCTCAACGGTCTATCTGTTGCAATTGTCACAGGCCTTCAAGGCGGCAAATATTCAATCACCATCACATAGTACTAGGCATCTTTGAGCCTGAATAACAGCCGATAGTATATCAATATGTACCTTTACGACTGTCACGACACATGGTCAAGCCATACCTACAAAGGTTAAATGTCCACACCCAGGTTAGGCGAGGTAGTGTAAAGAGATGTAACTGTGTATGCGCGTGTGCAACAACGATTCACCGAAATTTACAAAGCGCTGACTGTGGCGGCGAGTGCGGATCGGCACACACTGGCATCCACGACATGCCGTCTTTTGCAGCTGCAAAGACGTAATATCCCAAGACCTGGGTCTGCCATGCATTTGTCTTTGATGACTATGCATGGGGATCCAGACCTCTAGATAGGATTCGATTGACATCCAATCAGTTTCTCGCTGCAAAACCTTATCTGGTGTCGTGGTCTAGTACCGCCACATTGATTACGTGGACCAGATTTCCTTGATGGCCGCTCGCCAGATCATGATGCAGACAGGCGTGGAAATCAATTGCGGATCATGTCAAGTGGGTGAGTCCTCAGACTACGCAGTCGGCAGTCGGTTATTTGATGACTGCAGTTCTGTCCGCGGAGGCGATCATGATGTTGCAGGTTACTGCGTAGATTTGACGAGCCACAGATTTTTGGATGATGGATCTGAGTAACCGCTCCAATTGGGCCATGTTTGGATGACTGCATGTCGTCTCACACCGGCGGGGCAGATCCGTGTGGGCGATCCGTCAGCCCTGCATCTAGTGGGACAAGGGTTGGGATCTTGAAAAAGTCCGAACTGACCTACGGAGTATCCTTTTTTCTTTTTCTTTTTTTCCTTCTTTACATAGCCGTTGAAATGTCTTGACAGACCCATAAACAGTGCCAAAGCTCTAGTCTTGACGAAATGGTATCTGGTGTTTTACATGGCTAGATGCAAAATTGCGTTCCGAAAATAATTCGGGCTTATCGCATGCTCATGCAGATCGCGATCTATATATATCTCTCTGACTATGTTCCACTGCATCCTTCTTTTACCACACCAAGCCCTTGGGCACGTCCTCAGATGCAAGTTTCAGATTTTTTAGATTCCGGGAATGATCCTGGCGTGTCCATCTGGGGAATGCTAGTCCCGGAGAATCTGCACATCCACGGGGGGTGCAGCCCGTAAAAGTAACTCCGATCACGGAACTTTTGGAATATATCAGCAAAAGTGTCATGGATTTGTTCTTGGCAGTGCACCGCAGTATTGCTAAGCACCGCTGTCCGGAATTTTACCTCGATAAGTAGGTGGAATATTTTGCCACCACGCTGACGAATCGTGTAATTATCTCGGGAACGAGGCAGTTTTCTTTTGACGTCTTTGGGGAAATAATGTGGTGGTTCGTAACGACCATGAATGTAAATGATTGAAATGACACTGCTCCATGTATTTCAATTATTTTGAAGTGAGTTGACTCTATGCTTTGCTCAACTGCCCTGATACTGCAATGAAAACATTTTGGAGCCGCTCATGCAGGTCGGCCTGTAATTGGCGGAAGAGGGTTGCTGAGAAAGGAATTGTACCATTTGTTGCTCCGTGCATGAGAAACTCCGAACTAGACCCTGGAGACTCGGAGCATGGAATTCCAATGTCGTCTCTGGTTTCCGATCCTGCCATACTCCGAAGCCGCTGGAATAGTCCGGGCAACAAACATCGAACGCGATGCAGTGCCCCGAGTATCGCGTGCTGCTGCGTATCATTGACCGCTTCGCTCGTGTTTGTCTTGCCATCCGTGTCCAACAGGGTCGGCGGATCACATGCGACCTGCTCGTAGCGGTCTATTATCTTGAATAACACAATTGATGCCATAGCAAGAAGAGCGTTGTCTTGCGAACAGGAGCAGGCTATTATCTGAATGATGGACCCTATAGCGCGCTGATTATTTGCAAGTGTAGACTGGACGGAGCCCGCTGATCTCAAGGCATCTTGCCTGGCTTGTGCGGCCGGTGGAGTGGACTTGCACCACGAGTTTAAGCAAAACTGCTTGATGAGTTCATATGCTTGAGAGTGGCAGCGACATTGAATATCCGGTGATGGACTGTGGTAAGTCGAATGGTCCAGAATCGGCATTGGGGTCTGACATGGAACGGCTGGAACTATTGTACAACTCGGCGGAGTATGTAATTGGCCGATAGGGTTGGTGACGAATGTTGAGGTCGTAGTTCCAAATAATGACGGTGACATATGGCTGTTGTCAAATGGATAGTTCAGAGTCCAATCAGACAGACTTGATCCGATTGAGCCTATGCGCCCGTTGTCATCAAACATATCGGCGTGTTGGAAGGGTGTTGAAGCCACCAGAAACTCAGGCATGTGTGAATCCGTGTCAGCTGGCGTGACAAGACCCGTCGACTCAGATCGAAGATCAGGGCTAGAGTAGCCGTCTGAGCAGTCGTCACCATGTAGATCTGAAAAGCTTGTGATAGTTTGCGCTGGAACGCCCTCCCTTACAGTTGTTGTCATGGGTGTGGGTGATCGCACACGTCCGTTGCGCTGTGCCGTGTCGAGTCGCTTTGCAGCCTTTCGGCCTGCACGACGAGTTGGCAAGTACTCGCAATTGATGCCCCTTTTAATACACCGAGCACATCGCGGCTTCTGCTTCGAGCATTTCAACTTTGAAGCTGCACATGCCTGACAGCTGTCGCGCAGCTTTGGGGCTGGGTCTTCGGCGACATTTGTGTGCCCATCTGGCCGAGAGCCTGCTGATATCGGCGTAGCCATGGGGATGTAGTTAATTCGAGATAAGAGCAATGTTGGGAGGAGGCGTCAGTCATTGTAATATTTACAGGTTCTAGGGGAACAATAATATATAGATACCGGAAAAAAGACAAAAGATCCATCACTCCACGGGGATATGTAATTAGGCTCGATGCGTGTGCATGGTGAATAGATACCACATCTGACCCCATGCTGAGAGGCTTGGATTACATCCCTCAGACGCAAGCCTTCTTCATCCAGCTAGCCCCTGCCCATCCTGCAAAAGCTGCTAGTATTACCTCCAGGTCCCAAGAGTACAGTAGGACAGCATCGATAAAGAAAGTGGCGCCCCGGCTGGCCTGTAAAGGGTCAATCTGACTATCAAAAGCTGACGAATGGTATTCGTCGAAAATTTGTATAGTAACCTTGTATGTATTTATGTCTTTGCTGCTGCATTTTCATTCCCTTGACTATTAGCAATCATTACGGTATATTTTTCGCGTGTGCTTCTTTCTTTCCCGCTCTCAACCTCTTGCTTCTGTAACTTCTTTGTCGTTTTGCTCTTATTTCATCCCCCACCCCCGGGGGCTAGAAGTGAATCTGCTTACGATGCCTTACAGTAAAGTTACGATGTATTCCGTAGAATCAATCCAGCTCGCCCCAGACCCCTCCGTGCTGTTTGGTGGGTTGCAAAGGACCCTTTGTCGCTTACCCTGCATCTGCATGCAGAGAGCCTTACATTGTGGGAAAATGGCAACAGCTGCCGATATCCCAAGAGGTATAGGTACATAGTAGCTGCCACAGTGGGTCATCATTTACGCATCTCAGGGCGCTTGAACCCCCCACCCAAAGTAGATTTACTTCACTCAATACAACAAGCACTAGTACCGCCATGTTCTCTTACATGGGCCAAAACATGACACCCGGGTCCCGAGCCGCCAGCGTGGGGATTGTGACGGCTACCTTGGAAACGCCAGGATTACAAAACTATTCCTGATTTTCTATGATACTATGAAGTAGGTAAATCGATTTCGTGACCTTTGGGACCGAGTTCACTTGCATGTTCCTCAGATGTCTAGTCGAGAATGCATGTTATTGTCGTTGACATTTACTTCTGAATCTTAATTAGTGTTGCATCTTGGACGAAGTACAACATCTAGATCTATCCTTTCCTTGCGTTGGTCGAGAGCACACCTCTAGTATCCCGGTCAGTGGCTGATTAGCTGCAGATGATTAGCTGCGGTTGTTTGAAACGGCAATTCAATTCATGGAGATTGGACAGCTAAAGAAGCATTGTTTTACATACTATGTCGGAGCGCGCGCCGGGAAGACGCAAGATAACGACCCGTGCCGCACGATTCGGCTAAGCTGAGCTGAGGACCTTTATGACCGCTGTAACCTTTTCATAGAGGGTTGTTTAGTTTACGGACCTAGCCTAACCTGAGATATAGTGGAATTGAGGGACCAAACTTGCAATAACGAGTCTGGGATGTCGAAGCTGCCTAGGTAGGTAGTCAATCCACTCCTCATGGTAAATCTTTGTTTGGCACACAATAACGTGACTTACATCAGACCTAACCATCAAGCGAATGCCATGACATGATTGGGATTGTCGGTCTCCATTTTCGTCATCCTGCTTAATGGCGCAGGCTGACTGATCTCTTTGTAACGCGGATCGAGTACGAGCATTTTGCTCAGTCTCATGACAAACAGCTCTATCGTCTCCATTTCTCCCCACTCTCATGAATGCTTAACAGGGCGTGGGGAACTGAAACACAGAACCAACAAGTTCAAAAAAAAAAAAAAAAAAAAAAAAAAAGATCCAGTCGATGCGCAATTGTTTCCATCGCACTTGTTCGGAAAATAATTATTTTTGTCCGATGCTAAAATACCAAACCATTCTCTTATTTTTTCTGATATGCTTTGCAAAATCTATGTCCTAGTATACATGTCGCGTCTCTTTGCAGCACACTGTCCTTGTGGATACCCCATATCGCTGTAGATGGCCAAGAACGAGAAGTAGGTGGCCGAGTTCACGCGACAGGCGACCGCTTGTATGGATTCGTGTACCAATATGATTGCGACTACAATATCGAGAACGACGGCAGGAATCCCATTGCCATCCCCATTGCGCTCATCTCCGCCAAGCACTTGTCCGCCTATGACAAGATCCAGGCCGGTTCCTCGGGGTCTTGGCCTTTTGACAATCTCGATGCGGCTTGCCAGAAAGTCCCAGCTCCAGGTCCCAGCTTGAATTAAGTGGCTCTAGCTGATAAAGACAGCAAAGTCCCGGAGCGTCCAGTAAAGCATGAGGTTAAAATTTGCCAGTGGTGGATCGAAAAAGTTGTCCCGTATCTGGTCAGTGATGGGTTACTCTTGCCTTTGGACGGACAAGATGATGCAGCGACGATAGTTGTCAAGGTCAAAGAGCTGCCACGGCACTGACAACGAGAGTCAAAAGGAGAAACTGCATGACATTTCTTGCTTGTCGCATAGGGACAATCCCGCAACCCTTGGCTGCGCGCTGTTCTCTCGCAGTAATTGGACAAGATGAATGCATGAGAGTTGTCGAGAGCATATGAGTGTTGTGGCTCAGCGATGCACGCGGTTGTTCGCTGGGATTCACTGGGTGAAGGCCCTATTCAGCTGCCAGCACTCGCTGATCTTTAGAGCCATGTTAGCGCATGGCTCACCAATCGACTGGCAATCAATGACCTACAGGTAAGATATGCCCAATTGTAGCCGTCATACGAGAAAAAGCTCGGAGGGCTGAAATACAGTATAGAAGAAAGAGGTCCACGTCAAATATAGAGATGCAATATTCTCCTGTCATAGATGCAGCACAGTCTACGATCTTGATCATATCAGCTATTTCATCCTGCATTCTTGAAGTCGATGCATTGAGCAGTCGGGGTCCGTTTGGGTGCTATAATCTGTACCTAAGGGAGTTTTGCAGCCGCTAGCCTTCGCCGCAACCGCAACCAACAACAGGTTCCCATCGACGGCGAGTGAATGTCGTGGAACGAATTGAAATTATAAGTGAGAAGTACTGCATCTGCATTCATCAGAGCGCCTTTTACATTCAGGTACAGCCTATGGAGGAGTTCTGCAAGACTTGAAAACTTATAATAAGCCACTGTGCCTATGATCTTGAAGCCGCATGCCGTTAAAGTTTACTCTGGCATGCCAATGCGCCAGAGTGAAGAAGAACGGCAAGAGGCTTGAGAAGCGGAAGATGGTTAATACTCATGCCCCCCTATGTATGCATCGCGCTTAACCCCTTGGTTATTTGTTGTACAAGATACGAGTAAACCACTGCTGTTGCAAAGCCCTGGAGCTTCAACAGTCTTATTTAGTGTCCTTTTGATAATGGCTCCTCTACTAACATTCGCAGGCTCATCCACATCAAAGCACAACTGCATATACATTCCAGTCGGGCGGCAACGGAATACCAAACCTACCCATGGATTGTGACATTTTCTGCAAGAGCTGCTTTTGTAAAAGATGCAAATTATGTTGCATCGGCGTGTTGCATTTCCCCGCGATTATGATCATCGTCGGCAATCGTGTTTCTCTGCACTGGACAAGTCACCAGGTCACCCATGAGGCTAAACGGTGTTTCGCCCTCCGCCAAGCTGAAGATAGGCTAGGCCCATCACTGGGCTAAATTTACTGGGTTACTTTAGACGAGTGCCGACATATTAGTGGGCGTGTCGCATTGATTGTGCCTTGTGACACTGCTACGGAAATCATGTTGACTGTAGCCAAATCAGGTTTCTTTTTCCAATACATACGGCCGGCAACGTAACGTCTGCACTGATTCGACTTTTTTGTGTTTATATCATCTTTATAAAGGCGATCATGTCATTCCTGGAAATATATTTTGCCATTCCATCAATCCCATCACGTCCTCATCCGGAGATGAATCGAATACGTCCCGAACGTGGTAAGTGGGAAGCCCGGCTATTTCAAAATGAATACTACAATCAGCTTATAGCTTGATGGAGGCGATAGATGAAACTTGTAGACTGGGTGTCTACCATGTACTTAAATACCAAGGTATATGGCAATGGATGAATATCTTGGGATGACATTCGGCCGTCCAGATATCGCGGCGTGATTGACAGCAATATCTTGAGACACCCAGCGACCTTACTTAGTCACAAGTTGATCGTCCCACCATGAAATTTCTTTTGTCTATTCTTCTCATCATAGTGAGCTATGTTCTTCCTATCGCAGCTCAACTATCAGGGCGGGTGGGACCGACTACGTCTACAGCTTCCAAGGCCGCCAAAGTCTGCAATATCATGAGCTATGGCGGCGTCTCAAGTGCAACAACCGACAATAGCGCCGCAATCACCTCTGCGTGGAATGCCTGCAAGAACGGCGGTCAAGGTGGGCAGGAAAAGATGATACGATCTATGCACTCTCAATAACACGAATCTCGCAGTTTATATACCTGCTGGTAATTATGGCCTGAGCTCCTGGGTCACACTGAGTGGAGGTAAAGGTGTCAGTATCAACCTAGAAGGTATGCAGTTCCTACGGAGCCGATGGCTTGGTGCTTGCGTCATGAGGTTGATCTCTAATAATACATAGGTACCATATACAGAATCGGCACTGCCTCGGGCAACATGATTGCAGTGACTAGTACCAGCGACTTTGAATTCTATAGTGCAAACTCCAAGGGCGCTATCCAAGGTTATGGCTATCAACTCAATTCAGGGGGCGCAAGTGGCCCGCGCCTTGTAAGGCTCACAAAGGTTACTGACTTTTCGTTTCACGACATTGCGTTGGTTGACGGTAGGTTCATTGCTGCTTCACTTGCTTTCACGACTTACTGACTTGATGCTCCAGCCCCGGTTTTCCATTTGACGTTGGATACTTGCACCAATGGCGAGGTGTACAACACAATCATCCATGGCGTGTATAAGGGTGGATTGGATGGGGTTGATGTTTGGGGTAGCAATATTTATATACATGACGTTGAAGTCAGTAACAAGGTAAATTGAACTCAAGCCTACCAGCTATATCCATTGGGAAGGCCCAATGCTAATGTCATTCCGTCATGCGCAGGACGAATGTATCACTGTCAAGAACCCAGCAAACAACATTCTTGTAGAGCAAATCCATTGCAACTGGTCTGGGGGGTCGGCTATGGGATCGTTGGCAACAGGCATCGGTGAGTCATGTCAATCGGGAGAGAGTTCCACACTGTGAAAACTGTACTAACGAGCTGTCCGAGGTATAGATATCCACGACATTGAGTATAACTATATCTATACTCACCACGCAAATCAAATGTACATGTTCAAGTCCAACGGTGGAGGCGGCACCGTCAAGAATGTTATTCTTAACAATTTCATGGGACACAGCAATGCTTATACGCTGGATCTGGATTCGGCATGGAGTAGTATGTCCAAGGCGGACGGAAATGGTATTACCTACACCAACATCACCTTTGACAACTGGAAAGGGACAGCCGCGAATGGCGTGCAGCGAGGTCCGATCAAGGTCAACTGCCCCTCGGCCGTTCCGTGCACCAATATCGATATCAAGAATTTCAACATCTGGACCGACTCTGGTAGCTCTGTTCTATGGGGGTGTCAGAATGCTTACGGGTCCGGAGGCTGTCTCAAGGCGGGCTCGGGCGGCACATACACTTCGACATCTACGGTCAAGTCTGTCGCAAATTATCAGTACACTACAATGTCCAATGAGCTTCCGTCTGGATTTCCCGCTGGCAAAGAGATTCCCATCCCTTCACTACCTGCTTCCTTCTATCCTGGCAGGCAACCCATCTCGGCCATCTTGGCCAAGCGTGGAGAGGCGACGCCGGCTGCTTTGCACAGGGCCAGGAGGACGGCCAGTTCGAATCCTTGAGGGGTGCCCAAGCGACTGCCACGGAAAGGATGTGGAAATAGGTCCGTCACTGTGCACCGGGTAGCTGCGGCCAGGCGGCAATGGTGTTTCGGGAACAATCTAGATATGTCAGAGTGAAGAAGAAAAAGCTGTCGTTGGGCTATGACGGTAGCTAGCTGAGGTCCGCGGGCATTTCCACAATGTATCGCCATCTGTGGAAATCGGGGTGTATCCACTGTGATGATGTGTTGTTACAGAGAGACCTGCAAGCCAAGAAACAGAGTAACGCGAGATCAGAAGTAAACTTCTTAGGAGAGCCAGTAACGTCCCAAATATATTCCGGGACGGCAATTGCTATCCACCAATTTGTTGATAAAGAGGAGATTCTACACCTCCGAGCCCAGGATACGGATAGAGTTGCAATGGTCGATGAAAAGTAGTTCAGTACAAAGGAGACGTCGCACTCGAGTCTGCTCGAATAGGAGCTGATTGGGCTGGATGCAACTCCATCAGATCAGCTTATAGTCTCCTATCCCCAACGCCTACCGGCAGTTATCAGCTTGGCAATAGAGCAACTGATTGTGATAGTGTCGGTGCGGGGAAGTTCACAGCTGCCAATCACCGGATATATGTTGGCACTCTCGGATAATTTGTCAACGTTGATTTGCCTATACCTATCAGCGCAAATCTTAAATCAATTCATACCTTGATAGATGACGCATATGCATGCTGAATGCGGGTCTCGTTTGTCCCCATCTGGGCCGAGCGGAAGAATCACGTACTGAGTCGGTCTCATGATTGGTAATTCCTATTGTTCCCAGGAGTATATTGTTCCCAGGAGTGCCGAAAGAATAAGTGCTCGAAGAAGCCCCGGTTCTCCCAGAGCGACCTTGTTCTTTAGTTGGGAAAACCTGATCGCAGTTGTGAAGCGCCACGATATTCTTGCAAACCATGCCTATTATGGCACCGATGGCTCTAATATGCATTGCTTTGATTCTTGCGTCAACGGGTCTTGGTAGCCCGATATCTGGGCGCTCGCAAGACCGCCGACGCCCCATAATGCTCGATAGCTCCGGAGGCTTCAACGTTGGAGGTAAAATCATCTCTGACCCCAGGTTCCCCAACCTTACGCTTTCGTGCGACCATGGATATATGGAATACTTCATCCCTTATACGCCACGAAAGACGAGTCTCGTAATGTGGCACAGTTCCAGCACCCAGACCTTTCAGAACCGCTGGGACGGTGGCCCTGGGTTCAAGGATATATTCTTGAGGCGCAACTATCCAGTCTACCTCTGGGATGGGCCCAGAGTCGGACGCGCGAACTGGGGTTGTGACCCTGATACCTATACACCTTCTTACCGAGACCAAGGCAACTTTGCTGCGTGGAACTTTGGACCTTACTACAAGAACTGGTGGCCAGACACCCAGTTTCCGAAAGAAGACGATGAGGCCTGGCTGCAGGCCACGCGATCGCGCTACGTAGAGTACGACAGTGATGAGAATGTCGAACTGCATTCCCACACGGCAGCAGTTGGTGCCGACTCGGGCAAACTCGGCGAGGACATTGTGTACCTGACCAACTCGGCGTCGGGGGTTCGCGCACTGATGACGGCGGTCAAGAGTAACACGACCAATATCAAGGCCATTGTATGTTTCGAAGGCTATGGATATGTGTATCCCGACAATGCCAACGTCACGGCTGGCACGTCACCATTCGGCGGCGGCTACGGTCCCTACATTGTGCCGCTCGAAGACTTTAAGAAGCTGGCTAAGCTCACAGCCGTCCTGTTCTACTGGTCCGACCACAGGGACGAATCCTACACCTTTTTGAAGCAGTCGCGACAGGTTGCTGCGCTCATCAATCTGTACGGCGGCAACGCGCACGTGGTCAAGTTGGGCGATGACTTGGGGTTCAAGGGCAGTACTCACGTTGCATTCGCGGATATGGATAATGAAAAGATTGCGGACCATCTGGAAGATTTCTTGGACCAGAACGATCTGACGGGCTATGCAGGGGGGTCGGATTCACGGTCTAAGACGAGGAGGTAACCGTGTGCCAGATCGTTCAACATGTGCATGAGTCGCTGGGGATGTTGTGGTTGTTATGGATGAGATGAGTGGTGTGTAGCAGGAGTAGTAACGCAGCCTGAGAAACAGATGTGACATAATTCATGCATTTCGTTATTCTCACGGGCTTGAGCTGATCTGGACACTGTGTCTACGGGACACCTCGATTACTGCCCGTTTTTGGGTCAGGATGGTCTGGAATTCCCCTTTTCTTTTCTGGTGGTCGATTAGACAGTCGATAATTCTAGCAATGACAGTGATGTACAACGGTAGCATTTGATCAGATGCTGTTGCAATGGTCGCAGTGATGCTGGGTATCTGCCTACATACAGCGCGACACGCTTCAGCTCGTCGACCCGCTGCAGGTACACAGAGCCCGTTCCCAGCCACTAAAATCGCCCCAATCCAACGGAGCCCCCACCCCGTTGGTGTCACTCCCCACGGGGTCGGCCACCCTGAGTTCCTGGCAGCAGTAGTCACGATTTACTTGCTCAATGTCGATTCCCTTATCTCGGCCATCAATCGTAATCGAGTGCTGATTCTTGCCACCACGAGACGAAATTTCTTCTACCCTGCAAAGGCTTCATTGCTCCCGTCACAGCCTAAGTGCATGCCTGTTGGCTGGCGTCTGACCCACGTAGACGTGTCTCCAGCCAGCGACATTCCGACTTGGACTCGGGCAAGATGGGGGCTTCGCAGGTGTCCTTGAAGCAAACCAAGCTCATCCGTCCACCGAGAGACACGATTCCGGGCCAGCATCGGCCGCCAAATATTCACTATGTCTACACTCTCACTTCTTTTGTCTGTCTTGGGTCTTTTCTTTTCGGATGGAACCAGGGCGTCATGTCAATGATCATTGCGGACAGGAGATGGCTGGACCTGATGAAACCAGCAAATGACTGCAAGTGCTCGTGGAACTGGAGCCGCGCCACTCCATTTGCTCGAGTTGATGATACTAACATTCCATAACATAGGGACGGTTGGCTTTGTCGTGAGCATCTACAACATTGGTTGCGCTGTCGGGGCAATGACGATTGGCTTCTTTGCGGATTCTCTTGGACGTGAACGTACGCTTTCATTGGTATGCCAAAATCATGACCCCCACGAGTGGTTGATGCGCAATCTTGTTGACCGAATGTATCACTCAAGGCTAGTACCATCTTCATTGCCGGCGCACTACTTCAGGCCGCTTCATATGGGATAATTCAGATGGTGAGTTGGTTTTTTTTTTTTTTTTTTTTTTGCTTCAACATGTTGTTGACTAGCGATTCTCATTAATGCTAATCGGCTTCCCTCTTACCAAAGACTGCGGGGCGTTTGATTTTGGGGGTCGGTGTGGGCGCTTACTCCGCCGCTGTGCCCCTGTACATCACCGAAATCGCCCCTGCAGCCATTCGTGGCCGGATAGGAGCCATCAATTTGATGATCCTTTGCTTTGCCGAAATGGTCGTTTTCTTTGTAGTCTATGGATTCTTTTTTATGAAGTCCAATGATTGGTGGTCAGTACTTTCGTCTGTCATCTATCATTCCGATCTGCCTCGCTAAAGATACCTACTGTCTAGGCGTTTTCCAATAGCGATTCAGATTGTGCCAGCGCTAATCCTAGCGGTTGGTTGCTGGGTTTGGGTGCCGCCCTCGCCTCGATGGCTCGTCACGCAGGAGCGATACGACTGTGCACATGAAGTGCTCTGCCGTTTACATGGTTCAGACGTCGCCGAGCTCGAAATCAAAGAGATCCGTGAATCGCTCGATGTCGAAGATGCATCTACACAGGCAACATGGGCAGACATGTTCAAAGGGGCTGTGCTTTGGATAACCTTCCTTGGCACTACTATCCAGTTTCTCCAGCAGATCACGGGAACGAATGCCATTTTCTACTAGTACGTCGCCGTCCTCTTCTTGTTACATTGGGGGCCGTTTACTGACTAGATTACATCAGTGCACCAACTCTTTTCATGAAAGGTGGCTTGAGTGCAGAGGCTGCTAACTTGGCGACCGCTGGCGTTGGTGTCGTTCTTTTCCTTGCAGCCTGGATACCTGTCATGTATTTTGATAGGCTTGGGAGAAAGACTTGGCTCCAGATCGGTACAGTAGGCATGTTCTTCGCCCTCATCGGCATAGCAATGCTTTTACGACACGCCGAGCACCATCCCGGCGATGCAGCAAACAACGCCATTGTCATCTTTCCGTATTTCTTCTACACCTTTTTTAATATGAGTTGGAGTTCCGGGTCTTGGACTTATGCAGCCGAAATTTTTCCCAGTGCTCTGCGCGTAAGTCGTTGCGCTTGTTTCACACTTTTTCAAGCCCTGTAATGAAAGCTGATGTCGACATTCTAGGCCAAAGGTAATGCTCTCTGCACCGCATCGCTCTGGATCTCGAACTTCATCGTCGCACAAACTACTCCCCCCATAGCTAGTGCCATTGGATGGGGGCTTTATATATTGCTGGCATTATTCTGTGTCGTTGCATTCTTATTTGTTCGATACGCCCTAAGTAAGATGCCAGAGGATATGAATGATCTTTTCGCTTGCTAACCGTGACTAGTTGAAACAAGAGGGCGCACATTGGAGGAAATGTCCCAACTGTTTGGCCTTGATGATCTCTCAGGAAAAGCCAACGACGGCAATTCCGAACGCAATGGTGAGTTGCTGCGAACTATTTCTAGATGACCAAGCACACTAACCGATGGCAAAGAGTTGCTTCGGTCCAGTATTGACTCTACGAGAGAAGACGACCATGAATGATCGGAGCGCATATAGAAGCGGAAGGCGGCACCTCTTACAAGAGCGCGGCGCAGGGCTGAACCATTAGACTTGCAATTTGAGCTACACTATCTCATAGAGCAGCGCCCAATAGACCGGATTCGAATTCATCATATACACATCACAAGAATCCACCACAATTCATCGTTTTCTTGCTCCGGGCGACATTATTGCCGTCTCAGGATTTGGATCCCATCTACAGAGCTGGGCGTGCACAAGCGAGGCCAAACTTGGTGACGGGTGGTTAAGCCAAGAGCTAGGCTGCCTGTATCAACAAATGAAGGCATTTATGAATCCTTATAGCACAGGATCCTTCCATAATGTAGAGTCTTTGGATTGCTACACACCAAACATGGTCGTATATGAACCAATGATCAAAGATTGCGAGCGATCATGGGATACTCTTGGTAATGCGCTATGTCTCACATTTCACTAGTATGGATGTTTACTCATCTGTGGCTCTTGCAAGAACTACCGGAAACTTCTGTTGCCGAATCTTTTACCCTGTCGCCACCAACGGTCATGGTCACTGAATGCATGGGAAACTTATCACTGGCAAATCAATGCAGGGCTGACGAGGGTAAGGCGTATGGCAAGGGTTAATGCGTGCCCGATGGGGTTAGGCTTGGAGTCCAGCTTGGCTACGAGTGCTTCTCAAAAAACTCCATCCGGACGCGATAGCACACTGATTGGATCGATCGCAAAACAAATACGGTTCAGCAGCTCGGACTTTGCGCAATACACTGCCTGTAAACGATACATTCTAGATTCTTCAATGGAATAGGGGACGCATAAGTCGATGCAAAGGAAGAAATCCCTTGCAGCGCCGATCATCTAGCCTACGGCGAGGTCGGCATCTTTTCTGTAGGGCAAGCAGCCTAGTTGGGATTCAAATCCTTCCCAAAGAAACATTTCTGCAGTAAAAGGTCACGCCATGTCAAGAACCAAATCCTACGGCATCCGTGTTTTATTACCTAAAAGTGTGTAGGAAGCTCTAAGCCTTCAAGCCAATGCGGCACATGTCTGCTGCTGAACAACGCCCCGTCTCCACCATGATAAGCTCGACTCGAATCCACCACAAATCGCCCCAAATACAATGACAAGATGAGCAGCCACTTCCTGACTATTTCTCAAAGATATGACATGTTTTTTATGGGGCGCCTATTTTTTGAATGGGTGTCTGCCATTGACGTTCGTAATACAACGCTTGTCGCTGTTGCAGAATCAATCCGTTTTCTAACAGTGGCCATGTTGATGAGCTACTAAGGCGAAGCTGATCTTCAAGTAACAGAGCTTGCGCACAGAATTGAAAGTCTATATCATGTTTTCTTGGATCACATGACTGTGATGCACCATTACTCAGCAAGGTCGAAAACATCACGGGATGTTTCGGATACCACCCAAACCCATGCGATTTCAGTCATGATTGATTTGCTGTGCCGGCAATCTTCCGCTTTTCACTAGACTTATCGGCTTCTGCCTTGGAATTCAATGTCAGCATACGAACCTGTTCAAGTATCATATCATGCGCTCCCAGCTGCCTGGTTTTGTGGCGGAACAAGCCGCTCTGCTGGGCCGCCGCTTATTGGCTGCGAAACGGCCGTTGGGTTATCATCCCTGAATAGAGGCGGCTTCTTCCTTACAAGCGCGTCTTGCTAGCATATTCATCTCGTTAAAATAGGCGAGCGAATCAGGGGCAAAATCTTAACGGGGTCCGGCTAATGAGCCAATGGAAGCCTTAGACATATTATAAAAGCCAAGCCTACGCACGAAAGACATTCCTACCATATTCACATATCGACTACTGGTCCCCTACTTGAATCTGTACTTAGTCTTTACTGTAATAGTATTTTTCCAAGAAGGATATAGCCAAGTTGGATTGTATTTAAAACCACGAAGCCAGGATTTCCATTAAGCAAAGCAGGGGTGGTCTCACTGATATGGATCTGTGCCTCGAATAGTGGTTATTGCACTACAAGGACCTGCAATCGGATGAACAGGTCTCCGCAGCTTATGATGCAGAATTTTTAGTCACGGGCAATTCTTTCATGATATCAGATCACTTTGCCGAGTAAAAGTCGGCCGGGATGTCACTTTGATGTGATTAACCGTCCCCATGAAGGATCACGGCACGGAATACGATGGGGCTGTGGTATGACTCCAATGATGGAGAGTCTCGGATGATGTGAAAACCAAAGTACATATTTTCAGGAATTGAAGAAAATATAAAAGACAGCAAGATATCCCAACAGAAGTAGAGCAGATACCATCAAGCTTTAAGAAATCCACAAGCTCACTGCCATTAGCATCATCTTTTCACGCCACGTTCGTCAATTCGATCAAACATTGAGTATTTCGCATATTTCTTGTTGCCAGATAAATCATATCCACTCCTCAAACTCTTAGATCCCTTGAATCTTCATATTTGAGACGTCGCAACAATGAGGGTCCAAGCTATTCTCGTCGCCTTCGCCATGACGCTCTCTTGCGCCTCAGCAGCCCCCGCAGCAACTCTACCTATTCGAGAGAATCCCACACCGGTGAACACCAGTCCAGATACAGGAGTCACCTGGTAGTTAGTAGGTAAGTAGGTAAACTACTTCCCGTGACTTGTGCGTTTTTATAACTAACAGCACGCGGTATTCTTGTAGCGTCTAGGATGTCATGGAGCTATTAAGGAAGCGACCCCGTATGTCAAGCTCGTGGTTTGGTGCACCATGACTTTCGGGGGTGGCAGAGACCTTTAAGTCTCTTTAAATATGATTTCTATGCATTTGGCCTACTTTGTTTAGAGCAGTGGAATTCTTCATGGCTTTGAATGATACTTGGTTGTTTAGAATAGAAAAGTAAATTTGTATTGACAGTGTATTATGATGTTTGAATCAAGTCGTGATAATCTTCGCTAATTAATGTCTGAAGCATTGTGTCGCCAAGATGTCTATCTAACAATATTCCTGAAAAGTACATGTTTACAGCTAGTGCAACAGCCAGTCAGCTCAATGACCGTCTCTCGGCTGTTCTCAAGTTCCGATCAATGACAAATACAAACCAGCTCAGCGTCTGAGATTCCCGGCTCTCTGACGCTGTAAGCCGAACCTTTGTTCGCTCCTACGGCGCTCCAGACCCCAGTCTTGCGCCCTGGTATGTTCAGGGAGTTTTGGCGCTCCACCTAGGCTGGCCAGCACTTGTTCATTGGTACAAGTAAAATCATCCATCACCTCCAGCTCCCGAAGGGTGAACCATTTGGGTATGAGATGGGTACGGAGAGGAATGAGCAAGATGATGAGCACGGGGAACCCAATGGCAGCAATCGTTTGTGATACAGCGACTGTAGCTGCGACGCCCAGAACTTGGAGTCCGATGAACAGCCAGATCTTGCGGCGAGGAATACTGAGAAGCGGCTCGTCACGTTGAATAAATCGGTCCTCGGACATCAAGAACACGAGTTTTTGAGTGATGGCATTGGACTCAATTGACCCCCACTGGAAGTATAGATTAGTGCTTTTCCTTGTAAAGGTTATAGCGAGTATGCATGCAGTTTCTACTTACCCCAACGACAAAGAAGACTCCTCCGAACAGTGCTGACGGCATTGTATGAAGCATTGCGAGCAATGGTCCAGTCATGGTGCCTATCAAGGCAAGACCCATCAAGAAATGCGAAACACGCTGTTCAACCACAGCTACCGCTTCAACGACGGGACGGCGAATCTCTGTGCCTTCACCTTCTGCTGTTGGAATGATTTCCAGTTTCGTCTCGTAGACGGTAAGCGAGTCGGTGTGAACCGGCGCCTGTGGAACTAATCCATTCGGCAAGGGTAAGCCTAGTATTGCTGCAATGAAAGTTGTGCATCCCAGCAGGAAGAAATCCCAATGAAAACCTCCGGGCTTTTTGAGGGGAAATTGGCGAGCTTGAGCTGTAATACTGCTGACATTCTATACCTTGTTGATTAACAAAGCTTCTCGGTGCAGGGATATGACTGGGACTGACATGATCGTAGTAGAAAAGCAGCATCACCAGAAAGCCAAAGGGAATGGCTACAAATATCCACTTGACAGGAAGATTCCAAAAGTCCAATAACCAGTCTCGAGGCTGAGTTGGGTAGAACGCCTTGGTCACAGGGAGCTGTGAGACGTGTGCGTCTTGAAGTCGCCCGGGAATGTGCGAGAATCCCACCCAAAAAAGGGTCGCAAACTGTTCAAAGCTCAGATCAGCACGCAGACACTGGTCGTTCTGGCTAGATTTAATACCCTACCACGTATGCATAATCTGCGAGAATTCCGCGAAACCAAGGCTTCCAAAGTGTGCTCTGACCCATCTTTTCCAAAGAATATACCGAAGCAAAGTAGAGGATGGCGATGATGCAACTGAGGTAGCCGGAAACAGGTCCTTCGACGGTGAGTTCATTGACCAATTCTTCGACTCCTTTGACTAAGACTTGATCAGCACACTTGATTTTTGTGGTCCACATTTTTGATTCAACCTACTCATGTAAATGATACCAACATACATACCAAAACTCTCACTGGAAAAGTCCGTCACGTAACGCATATAATCACAAAGGTTAAACATGGCGACAATCCAATGAAAGATGGCAGCCCAAATTCCCGTCCAAGCCATGAAGAGGGGGTATAGTGAAGAATCGTATTGTGCAATAATTTCATAGATGGTGTAGTTGAACAAGGAAATTAACCCAGTGATACCGACGATTGTCAAAGGTTGGGCACCAAGAAGGCTAAAAACCATGGCGGCCAAGGCCGACGAAAACAGCGCTTCGGTCACGCCAAAGAATTCGCCGGTTTTTCTATACATATCGAGTGTATACGCGAGAGCGGGAAGAATGCTAAGGGAATTAGCCTGATAAATATCCTAGAAGCCGACAACAAGTGTTGTGAAACTCACTTGACAAAATACATGCGAATTGTGCTGGCAATGGTTCTGTAGGTAAAGGCATCTGTGATGTCGCTCCAGTAGTAGGGAAGCCGGCGACGTATATCATGATACATGCCGCGACATGGTCTCAAAACTCGGTATTGACGCCATCCTGTCACGTTTTCGTAGGTGTAGGACTTGGCGGTTTTCTCTTGCGGGAGCTCAGATTGTGGGAGGTCGTTGGGGGTTCTTTGACGCGATGGAACGCGAGAACCAGAGAAACGCGAACGAGTCTTGTCGGCCATGATTTTGGTGAACTCCAGAGTTGTGTTTGATAAAACAAAAGATGCAGGATGTAGTTGCAGAAGGGACCTAGCTATATATCAGAGAAGCAATCCCATTCCCCATACAGTGAAGTCAGTGGACAGGTGGGTCAGAAAAAATGAATGGTACCCTCTTTACGATCGAGGCAAATAATTCCCTGCCCTCTTTGACATCAGGCTCGGGGCTTGTTCTCCTGCCCAGTAAGGGTGACATCGGGTGGGCCAGCCACTAGAACATCAGCCGGATATGTACTCGGCCTTTCGAGTAACAATTTTCCATGGCTGATACAATAGTATAAATCCAAATTGCTTGTTGAATGCGAATGTATTCTAAGCTGTCATGACTCGGCTCACGGACAAGAGCATACCTATCGAGTGCAAGTTATTCAAATTGAATCAACCGACCCAACCGTTTTGATTGAGCATTTCCATTGAATTATTACTACAATTCAATCTATTCAGTCTAAATGGAGTCCTGGTATTCTAGGGGTGCTGACAAACCTTGTCTAATTTGCTCCGACGCTCGTCATGACATCGACTGCCAAGTAATTGGCGTCGGCCCAGCCACAAACCATACACTCGCTTCTTTGTGTCAGGTTGTAATCTTTTCTGCCCGGGCAGAACTTTATGTGGGGCATTGGTTTAATGGAAAGACTGCCAGGACCGTATTCGACAGTCTAATCGAGATCGCAATTCATCCCACTCAAAATGTATGCAGACGTTGTCTTCGATGCTTGGAAATACAAGATTTGGTTTTTCAGGGGGCCAAAGAACAAGTCTCATGGCACAAACGTGCAACAACTCCAACTCGAAACCCTCGTCAGGCTGCAAATAGTTCACTGCCTATATTTAGTGCTGAGTATCTAGTGGTGAGCTGTCTGTTTATGTTTTCATGCGAGCGTGTAGAAAGTTCCGGTCATGGTTTGTGGTATCTTGTTTAGAGTAACAATGAAACTATGCCTCTACCATCCTATCATTCTTAGTACTTGGCACCATCAGAAAGTAGGTATGCATGAAATCAAGAGTGAGTTGATTTGTACCAGTCGCTAAGAAAGTCGGCGAGGTCTCAGTGTACATGAGGCGCGTAGCGCTCGTTAAGTTCAGAAATTCAGGGTCTAGCAGACTGCCATGCCGCTTATGTTGTGCTTCCCCATGCTTCCCTGTACCACTTCATGTTGCTCCATGTTGCCTGAAAAGATGCATTAATCATCCTCCTCGGGATTGGATCCGTCCTCTTCGAGATCGGAATCGTCCTTCTCGAAATCGGAACAGGAATTGGGGTTGAGGTCAGGGTCGGAGTAATCATAGTCCATATCATAGTCGCCCACCTCATTGGCGAAGGTGCATCGTCCTGCCAGCCACTTCTCCCGTAAATCAGCCTTGAGTTTGTCCCCCTCCTGCTTGTCCACTTGAGTTGCCTTGCGCACTGCAGTCAAAGCCTTCTTGTGCCAGCTGTCAACATCCATCAAGTCTGACTCTGCCATTGCAAAGGTCCGCATCGTGTATCTGTTTTGGCTTTTTCGTTCGATCTTGTCAGCACGGTTGACGAAGAGTTGGATTGCAACACGTGCTTTCTTGAAGGCGGGATGGGTCTTGAAGTCAATGGAGTGGTTGCCACCGTTCTTTTTGTCTTTCTCCTTGGCGCTCTCGTGCTCGCACTCTTGCTCCTCTGCAAAATTGTCGGGCTTGTCCTTGGGCTCCTCCTCCCGGCCGTGAGAGACTTCCATGGAAACACCGGAGCTACGGCTGGACATCGTTGGTATTAGGTCGTGGTGGTGTTGGATGAAGAGAATGGGGATGTTGGTGAACTGGTGGGTTTCAAACCAAAGACCCAGGATAAGATGCGCTTTTATCTAGCAAAAGTTTCCGAAGTTTCCATCTGAAAAGATTTGGTCAGGAACCAATTCTTCGTCGTATTTTTCGGTTTCTTCCTCTGGCATTCATGTCGTTTGCACAAGTCCAGGCAACCGACGTTTCGGATGAATAAAGATTTAGTCGCAGTCTCAACAATGGGGTTGATCAGCACATGTCGGATAGCCTGAGGCTATTACCCATGGAGATGACGAACACCTCAGGTAACAACTCCACTTCATTGATATGCCGTCATGATTAATAGAAATCATCTGCTTCCTGCCCTGGTGCTGAAGTTTGGGTGCCGTTCACGTACACGTATATCGTGTCGCCCGCGATCCATAGTTCCCAGGACTTGTTCAGTCGAGACTAAGTTTTGCCGGCATCACAGCCACAGTGTCCTTTGAGGCCAGTGTGGCAGCCTTTCCTAATATACTTCAAACATATCGTCCTCCGTTCGAAAGTAGATCATACCGACTCCTAGTCATGGCACCTATATCGGCAGGGCATCCTGAGGAAGACAGTGACACCGCATAGGAGCAAGATTGATCATGTGACCTTGACTATGTACATCATGAGTCCCAGGGTATGCCCCGCTCCACTCCGCTCGCTCTTTATGCGGGGTTGTTTCCTTCCACGTTCATACCTCTAAGACGAACTGCTCAGCTATACACACTTTCCTACTATGTTTACGTGTCCATTGAGACAAGTGAAGTGCTGCTGTCTGTGGGCAATGGCACAATGTGCGACAGGGAACGAAAACCAGGATTCATGCGGCCAAGAGCATGAATCTGAGAACTTCACCACTATGGCGACTCATTCAGGGAGTCTTTGTTACCAAATGCTCGAGACCGGTGATATTCGCATACTACGCATACTACCAAGGACCGGGTCATGTTTAGAATGCGAGCTTGATCATGTCGCTCTGTCGCAAGCACCAGACTACTTGGCCATTTCCTATGCCTGGGGCGACGCTGATGAGAGGACAACAATTATAGTTGACGGCCATAAGTTTGACATCAACACGAGTTTATACGATGTGCTTAGCATGCTCCAGAGCGAGAGCGACGGCGAGATTGTCACTTTGTGGGCAGATGCGATCTGTATCAATCAGTCAAACATTGCAGAACGTTCATCTCAGGTTGCCATCATGGCAGACATATACCGACAAGCCAAATACACAGCTGCCTGGCTTGGACCGGCAACGCAATCAGATTACATGGCCATTGAGCTCGTGCAACACCTGGTCAAAGTGAAAAACTCGGAGCCGGATTTCAAGGAATCTATGAGATCACCCAGTTGGCACGAGCATTTTGTTGCACTCGCGTCCTTGTTCAATAAAGAGTACTGGCGAAGGATGTGGATCTTACAAGAGGTCCACAGCGGACAATTTGTCAGAATCTATTATGGCACCCGCTGGCTACCGTGGGAAAACTACAGAGATGTTTCACGTGCATTTCGACGCCACGATCTTGACGTTCGAGGTACATTCATGCGGGAAGGGCTAGAGGGGACCGGTGAATATATTTCATGGGTCTTGTGCTATAATGGTCCCAATACCTTGGACCTCGAAGAAGAAGAAGAGCTGCTCGGATTCTTGGCTTGGTGCCAGCCGAAGCGTTGTGCCGATCCAAAGGACAAGCTTTACGCCTTACTTGGTGTTCTGCCGGAAGCAATAAGACGCCACTTCAAACCTGATTACACCATCTCGGTCAAAAAGTTATACATGGACATTTTTGAATACATACTGCGGTCTACTCGACGACTGGATGTGTTGTGCTACGCCACAATAATCGGGATGACTACAGAGAATCCGCACTTTCTACCTAGTTGGATCCCCGATTGGTCACGCGAACTTCAGGTTGACGTGGTCATGGACATATGTGACTGCGCTGCCAGTTCAGAACCGGCAGACTTCACGATCTCCTCGGGTGCCAGCAACACGTCCTTGAGAGGGTGGCAGATGAAGGTCAAGGCCGTCTTTTTGGGTAGGATTGCCCAGGTAGGGCTGCACGTTCCTGACTTTCACACTGGCGATGACATCTCAATGGCATTCCTGAGTTGGCGTGCGCTGGTCAAACAGTTAGGGAGGTCTGACGAGAGAGAAGTACTGTGCAGGACCATCACAATGGGTACCGTGGATGACTTGACTTCTCAAGAACTCACTGACATATGCTTCCATGTGTTTGTACAGAGGCTTCAGTTTACTTTGCCGTCTATCACCCTTGATGATGAGCTGAAGGCGTATTCCCAGACCAGGTTGGGTGCATCCGAGGAGGAACTGTCTGCTTTTTGGAGCAAATACATTGAGCGAACTTGCGAAATGCGCCGACTTTTTGTTTCCGAGGAGGGTCAAGTGGGTTTGGGCCCCCCAAACATCGGTTACGGCGACTTGATTTGTGTGCCTCTAGGATGTAGGGCACCAATAATCCTACGCCCCTACAGCGATGGATCATATAAATTTGTAAGTGATGCTTATGTTGATGGGTACATGTACGGAAAGGCCGATGCTGAATGGAAAGGTGGTTCAAAAAAGCTGCAGTCATATATCCTCCGGTAGGCACCGGAGGAGATTTAATGTATCAAGGCAATATTTGGTCTTTTGTTAGTGTCATATCTTGACAGTATAAGACTCTTCAATGATCAATCACCTATAGGCCTCAGTTTGATCCTTAATCACGGGCCCTTCAGTTGTACATGCCAGGATCAAGAGAGAGTACAATTCTAGACAACCCCTGATGAGCAGCTTCACCTAAAGTGGAAGTCAATAGGTAGAAACATGTGCATAAAAGTCTTGCCAGCTAATTAAAAAAAAAAATAGATGTTGAACATGTGCCAAGGCGTCGAACGATGGTTAGCACGACCGACCGGCTATGAGCTGTCGACATCTATGCCGGCTTTTCGGTATGCATTCAGCGTCGTGAAAAGCTTGTACAGACAAGTAAGTGTTGGAAGAATAACATCCGGCTTCATGTCTAAAAAGCCATACATATTAAAGAAGCATTCCTTCTCGGGCCTCCAAGCCCAAGAAGATAGTTTGTTTTTGCAGACACGGACTTGTAGAGACGCAATGACACTCGTATCTTCATCTTCCATAGTCTCAAACTCTCCGGAGCGGCAATCATCTTGTGCTAAATGAACCACAAGATCTTCCGGATCGAAGAACAACAAGAAGGCTGATAGCTCATTAGGGAGGTCTGACTCGGATAAAAAGCGTACTGGGCCAACTACTTGGTAGAAATAATTGATACGGCGAAGTATGACACCGGCATGTCTAGTCGTACGCACCAACCAATCATCCAGATGTACGTTGGTATGGGCAACAGCGGAAGGTTTCCCTGAAGGGCCAATGATACGACAAAAATCAGCCCCGTCCTTCTGAGCTCGAATGATCCTCCACGAGGAGTCAGGAGTGAGCTGAAACCCCCCAGCGGGAAAGTATTTTTCGTCGGGAAACTCGGGAATATCTGTCTCATCCAGCTTTTCGGTAAGGTCTGCAGATTCCAGCCTACTATGGACAAGATCAGAGAGCTCGGGGTCATCGCGGCTGATATGTAATCTTCCAATGAATTGCAGCAATTCTCTCGTACTGCCAAATTTGCTCATGGTGTTCGTCGCCAGCTCCCAAGTTGGCTTGGAGTAGTCAGGCTCAATGCCATCCCAATCCATAATCCGTAGCGTCCCGTAAATAATGTCACGGGGATCTTGACAGTGACGAGGCTCACAGAGCTCAATCACTTTCTCTTGGCACATTTCCATTTTACCACGCGGTTGAGGACGGACGTTGTTGCATAACATGTCTTCAAAAACGTCCCCAAGTCCTGAACCTCCTTGATCGAGAATATATTCTCCGTCGGTCCAAGGTGCTTTCTCCAGGTACTCTTGTGGAAGCTTCTCAACGAATAGTTGAGAAAAGTAAAGTTTGGAGTACCTCCACCAGAAGAGCAAAGATGCCAGAGACAACTCATTGAATCCACAGATGATTCGGATTTCTCGAGCTAGGTACAACTCCTGCAAATTCCAGATTCGCCAGAAATAGCTTCTCTTCGGGAACTCATCGCAAGCTTGCATAAATCTCAGGCCATTCTCGTCCGAGATTCGCTGGAACCAAAGGCCGCATAGAGTCAGACATTGCTCTTTAGGCGACAAACTTGTGCCTCTGGCTCCATCATCTGCAGATTCTTCATTCTCCTCACTAAATACAGATGATAGCGACCCGCCACCTGCTTCGAGCATAGCCTCAAAATCGTGAAGAGCTTTGGCAAGAAATTCGCTTGATTCGTCGTGCATGCCAACACACGCGAAGACGCACTCGGCGTTCTCAAAGATATCTCCCATCATGGCAACTTGATAGCTCTTCTCGGCACTGTCTTGCTGATTGATACAAATTGCGTCAACCCAAAAGTAAGCTGGGCCATCAGGCTTGAAATGAAAAGCCTGACGCAGGACATCGGCACAGTTTCGGCGCACATGGAGTGAGCCTGGATAGCCACGGATAAGAATGGTCTCCGTCGATGTGACCTCGCCCCAGGTGTATGATACAGCTTGGTACTCTGGAACCTCTGCAAGAGGCCAACTAGAAATTTCAATCTCAATACGGCCACCGTCTTGAGGGGCATTATGAACTTCGATCAGCCGTATATGCGTCGCCGCATCAGGTAGAGCATTGTATGTGAAACGTCCATTTTTGCCATCCATATTTGAAGTTGCCATGATCACGCGCAGCCAATGTAGTGAGGAATCACGTAAAAGCCCTGGCAGACTAGAAATTCCCACTCCTCTGGGTATGCTCAGAAGATATTTTCAAGGGAAGAGGGGGAGGAGCATGAGGGTGGAACTGTGGAAAGTCTTGAATCTGGATCATGCGGCGCAGCAATTGTCGTCACGTCACGGCTTACAGCCTTGAAAACATAGTAAAAAGAACTGTTATCATTTTCTCACTTGTTCTTCCAACAAACTGTCTTATATAACACTGATTTAGATGGGAAAGAGCAAAAGTCGTAGACAAGTACAACATGGCGATATTGCTGAGCAGCTGATAGTGCAGAATCGGCAATGTCGGCAGCCACAAATGCTTTCATGATGACAGCTTCGGCAGCATCAAAACATTCCAGCGAGATGATAAGATGGATTTTCAGGACAGGCGGATATGTTCCAACCATTGCATATGCAGCCATCAGCAACGATCGAGTCACCGAGAAAGTCACGAGCTGCCGGGCGTGTAAACCTCGCGAGAATTAGAGCAGACAGAGATCGTACACCAGTCGCCATTCAGTTTGCTAATAATGTGAAGCTTCCCAAGACATGGGTTTCGCACAAGCAACACTGCTTGGTCCACACAAGGTTGAACCTTTCAAGAAATAGTGATGTCGCGGCGCTGACCCATCTTCTCGAATGAGCAAGCTTTGTGGTTTTGCTGGGGCGCTCAATGACTAGAGGGGATGCAGATTGAGACATTTGTCGCTCGCTTGAGCTGGGGTTTAGGCTGGGGCCAGTATAATAATCTGTCGTCGCAACGAGGTGGCTGGCCATTAAATTGCTACCCTCACCTGCCCGAAGCTGCTCTTATGGCATCTGCCTCGACGCAACTTACAAATGCGGGAGATGCGCTTGGTGCTTTCAGTCGCGTGCTGGCTGATGTTTTGAGCAAAGGGGCTGCTTCCAAAATTTGGGGCAGCGCCGATTAATCATTGGAGCACCATTTGCCGTGGCATCATGAGATTATCCCAACTAGAAGAGTGGGGTTTACTTTGCCCATAATGTCTTCAAATCAGATAGACCATTTCCCGAGCTGTACATGGCTTGGCTAAGAAGCTACGAATGTTCAGCAATCAAGTCTTCAGGCAGTTCATGGTTATGACCGTGGGTATAGGTATGACTTGGTAATTCCATTAGGTCAGCACCAACAGAGTCTGGACTCTGCGCAGAGACGCTAGCGCTATTTGCCCCTGGCATGCTGGGAAATGTTCCAGAATGTCTCACAGTGCAGGGTTAAGGGGCTATTGCGCGCCCATACGGTATCGTTTTGCTAATAAAACATTGTTCAGTGCCCAAGGTATTCATAATAGGCCTTACTGTAAGCCGCATCACAAATGGTACGCAATCGAGAGACCCAGTATGTCCCCCACGCAAATGATTGCGGCGACGGCGACTCGTATGGTGGCTTGCTGGTGTTTCGCGATGCCCCGGAAACAAGTGTACCCATCCTACCAGGTAATTATGCCTGGGCGCAGTGGCAGCCGAGTCTGTCACGTTTCCATATTATCAAGCCAATTTCTTCTTTCCGTATTGATCGATCCCAAAGTTGCCCCAGAATATGCAGTGCTGGCTCTGGTCCATGATTTTCGGCAGTCTCATTGTTTGGTACCTAAATTCTCGTCTCGTCTGCGATCTTAGTCCTTCATACTGAATTGTATTATGCTGTGACTAATTAGGGGCAGGAGTTGACTATTTTTAGGTCATGGCCCAGTACTTGGAAGCTGGAAGCTCACCAATCTGATCAAACAAATCCAATGTCGCATCGATATAGAGTTCGCATACTCTATAGAAGAGAGAATAATGCAGGATCAATCCACAGCATTGGCTGGCCGATTGTTATTCATGAGAGAATCCAAAGAGTTGTCTAGAGCTGATTTTTAGGATCATAGGGGGGTTGGCGTCGGGCGGACCAGGTCTCCGGAGTGCCGCAGTGGATCTCTCAGGTCACGCAGTGTGACCATGCAAAACATTTCCGAGAATAGACATTGGATCGAGTCCTCTGGTCTTTGGGATGGGCAAGTACGACGGTCCAGGGCTGGAGAGGAAGAGTTGGGCGTTAATCGTATAACATCATGCCGCAAGCAAACTCCCTAGCTGACCGCAAAGCTCAGCATCATCAAGATAGCGCGCGAGGCCTCGATCACTTGAAGCACTGTTTACCTAGTCAATCTGCTCATACAAATTGTTGCGATGGACATCCAATCATTCTCATGCCAAATTCGGAATGCCCAGTATTAGAGAAGTTAGAGTATCGCGAGAACTAGAGCGTGTGTTGAATGGGGAGGTCCCGCGTGGGATCTGGTGATTGCGCCCCGCTCCGGATACCGGTCGTAAGACGCCCCTAAAGTCGGTGGGAGCATTTCGAGCCATACATCGCGTGAACACTCCCCACGGATGTTGCAGGATAGTAGAGAGTTATAGAACAAGGATGAAAAAGGACTAGTGTTCTGTGTGTTGTCTAAATTGTCGCAGCCCAAAGGCCATCTCTACCTGATCCGGCTGACTTGGCGCCTCAACGCGTAGACCAGCGGTAATGTAGTCCCCTCACGTGTCGCGATGGCATGGCGAATTTCTTTACTGGAGCCGAATCAAATCAGTCTGTTTGTGACAATAACCTGAACGGAGGCAGCAGACCGACATCATATACAAGCAGTCGGCACACAAGCAGTTGGCTACCGGTCTTCAGCAATGTGTCTGTTGGTGCGTAGTTGCGAAGGCCCCGTGGCGTGGCAGTTGGAGAAATGATCGCTCTTTACCACCTGCGACAATGGCCGAGCAGAAACCCAAAATCAAAATAGCAAGACTTGATCCAACGAGATTCTACACTTTTCTGGCAGGCACTTGCTGCAGTAGATACCGTCGGTCCTCAATTGCAAGAGAAGCAAGGGTGTGCGTATACTTATATAGGAATGCATAGAGGTCGACTTGTTTCAACCATCGGGATCTCGAAACCGCCATGGTGCATTGAAAGTAACGACACCACCACATAACGAAGCACCATGAAATCATTGGGATGTTGTAGAAAACATGTAGACAGAGGCCTGAAATGATGTTTGAACAATACTTTGTCCTTTTGCTCCTCTGGCAAAACGTACAAGAGATTCAACGGGTTACCGTCTGTGGAGCGGTGGGCAACGCACAAGTTTTGGCGCGACCGGATTGCAAGACGAATTCTCGTCAACGCCGAGCAACGCTATTCCTACGCTGAAGTTGCAAGTAAATTAAGCATCGAAAGCTCACTGGAGCTCCTAAGTGCTCAGATCAAATGATAATAATCTGTCATTATCCTGTCTTGTATGCTGGATTTGTTCGTTGTGCAGGCGGAGTGAAGTCGCGACACAACGCCAAAACAAGTCGCGTCAGTGACGATGCACCGTTATCCATGCACCAGAGACGGCGCGAACAAGAAAATTGCAAAATGAAAAAAGTGAAATGAATGGCGATTCTGACAGCAAGCGCATGATGCCGTTGATTTCCCATATTCTTTGCGTGGAAGACTGTGGCAGGGTGATTGTTCGAAATGTGCGGATAGCCTCAAGTCGCGATACGACGAGGGGGGCATTGCGATGATGGTGCATTGATATTACTGATTACGGAAACTATGCGGGGGATTTCATGAGACGTTTTTGGATTGAAAAAAAGGCCAAAAACTGGAGCAACAAAATAGCAATATGAAATGCACAATTACCAGGGTTGAAGAAGGACCATGTTGAATGCGACAGAATTGTCGGTTGGCCAAGATGCAAAAAAGGGCACGGGAAAAGGTGGCGAGGGATTGAGTATGGAGACGTTTTGAAGGTGGATGTTGATACGGCTCACGCGGCGGTGCGCGCAATCAGCTTTCCTCGAGACGCCGGGTCCAAGCGCAGCCAGCAATAAGAAAAATGACTCGAACCAGCTGCCTTTTCGGAGGCAGAGGGAAGAAGAGGGAGAAGACGGGAACGAGAAATGGGGAGGGTGATCCGGGGGATGATCGAGGTGTTTGGTGAGAGAGAGAGCAGAGAGGCAGAGGAGGCCCGGAGCTGGAGGCAGAGAAGCGGCGGATGGGCAACAATGAGGATCAACAGTAACTGCCTCCTTGTGTGCGTGCTCTCGCGCTGCTCTGGGCTCACCTCTCACCTCTCGCTCCGGGCTCCCGTCCGTCCGTCCGTCTTGTCTGTCTGTCGTATCTGTCTGCCAACTCAAAAATCAATGCCACCACGAGCTTAAAATTCGAGAGCTTCAACCAATGAGAAAAATCGAGGCTGGGCCCACCTGTGGTGCGATGCGTATTTTGGGCCAGACGGTACTCTGTAAAATAAAATAAAAAGAGGGTGAGATGTTGAGTAACAAGGCTCATCAGGGTCGCTTGGCAGGCTTATGGCCCAGCCTATTGTTAGAGCAGAGAGAGCGAGCCGGGGAGGTAGGGTCAGTTGGCCTGTGTCGCTGCTTGATACAGATTTTCGCCCATCTCCAAAGAATTTGGGGTGTGAATGAGACGAAAGATGCTCTCTCTGGCAGTTGTCCAAGGTCCGACAAAATAGAAGGGCTAAACCGGAAGAGGTCGTATCGTGGGCGTCTCAAGAGACATCTGACCATTCAGGTGTTGTACATTTCGTTCCCGTCCTCCCCTTCCTGCCTGTTTACTCCTGGCGCAGAATGAAGTGTGGAGGGGGCAAAAGAAATTATTATGGTGGTCATAAATTCGCAGGCCAGCACTTCACTTGTCTGGTTTTTAGTGTGGAGGACCCCTGCAACTCTGAGGAAGGTCGAGCCACTGGGGGCACGCGCACCCTCCCGGTTTTGGCACAATCAGTAACTTTAGGTTCCGCCAAATCAGTCACGGCTACTAGGCCCCCCCCGCTTCAGTATATAAACACTTGACCACTCTTCCCTCGCGTCCCGACTGAGACCCTTCCGCCTCTGATTTCTCTCCATCCGCACTTTTTCGCTACTCGACGACGCGTCTCGAATCGTTTCCAGAAGACTACTCAATTGTCTGTCAATCGAATCCAATATTATCCAGCATTTATAACACCAATTACCGCGTTTTTCCGCTTCAAACTCACACAACCGTCGCAATGGCTCCCAAGAAGGACAGCACCACCGCCACCGCTCCCAAGACCAAGAGCAACCATGCCTCGTACCAAGTATGTGCGCTTACGCCTGATGCACTTCAGGCTGGACGGGAAATGTATCATTTGCTAACTATGCACAGGATATGATTACCTATGGTATCACTACTGTAATTCTCTCCCTCTGACCGTGTCGGCGCAGCCGTGGTGGTGTCGGTTGGTGGCTGGGCAGCATGATGCACCCTTCGTCACGATGTCTGGCCATTGCCACACCTTCACCCTGCCTGGTTTATTGCCATTGACCTTTTACTGACACATTTTTCAATCCTACAGCTTAAGGAGCGTAACGGTTCCAGGTTAGTTCGCATCCCATCACTATTGTCGTGCATTGCTTCGCTTTTACCCCGCGATCTCAAACTTGGCCGACATTACGAGTGCATCGCTGACCATGACACAGCCGTCAAGCTCTGAAGAAGTTTGTCAAGGCCAACAACACCCTCAACGTTACCGACACCATGTTTGACTCCCTCTTCAACAAGGCATTGAAGTCGGGCGTTGCCAAGGGTGTCTTTGAGCAGCCCAAGGGTATGTTGCCGTCGCACCTCGTCCTTGTCATGTACCACTATATGCTAACTTGAAACAGGCCCCTCTGGACCCGTGAAGCTGTCCAAGAAGTCCAAGGAGGCCAAGCCTGCTGCTAAGGACGGTGAGAAGGCCACCAAGAAGGCCGCTCCCAAGAAGGAGGGTGCTGCCAAGAAGGCTGCCCCCAAGAAGACTGCCGCAAAGAAGGAGGGCGAGGAGAAGAAGCCTGCTGCTAAGAAGGCTGCCGCCCCGAAGAAGGCTGCTGCTCCTAAGAAGGCCGCTGCCAAGAAGGACGAGAAGCCCGCTGCCGCAAAGACCAAGACCGGCCGTGTCGCCAAGACTACCAAGGCTCCCGCAACCAAGAAGGCTCCCGCAAAGAAGGCTGCTGCCCCCAAGAAGGCAGCGGCTCCAAAGAAGGAGGCTGCCAAGGCCGAGGCTTCGGCATGAGTCATTTCCTAATTTGATTTCACAGTGCTTTCTTCGCGATGTCTATCTGGTTCGGCGGTTTGCTGGCGTTCAGGGAAAGGGTACAAAGATGCGCGTATATGTGTGTAGCTCATTCATGCTGAGGTTCTCAGGTCATACTTCTGCGTGTTTTATGGAAATCTCGAGCAAGGATTACGGGGCTCTTCTCAGATGGGGAGATCTTTGGGAATCACGCAATTGGGGAGAAACCCGGTTGAGCGCGCTTTGATCTCCCTAGCCCGCTCAAGGCATACGGTTGCATTCGTCTCGGTAGAGACCCGGGTGCTGTATATGCCGAGGGTTCAGAGGTGTCTGCTTTGCTCAGGCGTGGCTGAGATTCATTGACGACTTGACGAGATAAACCTCTGTAATTATACCAATGGAAAGGTTTCGAAATGTTCTTAAACAAACAGTCTTTACTTTCTCACATGTGACAATGACCTGTATTGCCAGGTTGCAGCTGTTCCTGAATATGGGCGAGAGCACCGTAGTTGGTGAGTGGACCGACGCGTATGAGTTCCGTGTGTTTACATTTGTCCCAATTCGGTAGTGTAGGTAGGTAATTTGCTCCTGAGCCATTATCGTTACCGATAAGGGGGATCACGTGATGCACTGCACCATGTACACGACCCGAAACACTTCATTTGCAAGAAAGACACTGAAATTCCTATTATTGAGCCCTTTTCTTGATTGAGACAATCTTATATATCAAATACATTGTGCATGAGTTTTGCTGTTAAATGAGCATTTTCCAATGAGCTGTGTCGTGCCCAGGGTTTTGCTCTCTAATGTAGCCAATAGCCGCACTTATGCCCGCTGAAAGCTTGCTACTCAAAATCACAGCCGCGGCAAATGCCCAATTTCATACTCGTCATTTCATCATTTTCTCTCTGGTGTATACAAAGAACACGGTCATTCATGGATTTGGAAACAATAGGTATCATATGCCCACAATGGACCATTGCCTAGGTAATATCTTCCAATGCCGCGTGGCTGCCCATTCTGCACAATATTCAACTTGAGCCCTCCAGAGTTAGAGTAAGCTAATAACCAAACTTGAGCTAATGCACCCCAAGGATGAGAGTATACGTGGCTGGTGCCAGCTGGCAAGTTGACTGCACCGTCATTGTAAGCTTGACTTTAAAATGGCATGTCTATTCCCTTATACCTTGCATCGCAATACAGGGAACTCGCAAACAAAGTACAGCATGTTACAAGACCCGGAACCTAAGCAGAGTGCGAGACTGAAATTTTCAATTGAGACTGGTAGAATGAATTGTTGCTAGAGTTGAACTCATGCTTTGCCTGGCTATTCCGCGTGACTGGCAAGGCGACTGCAATGAGTTGAGTTCTGTACAGAGTAAGGTCAATACATTTGGTCAAGGCCAGGCATTGCTTCGAGAATACCGAGTTGAAGACGGTTATAATTGGGATCGTCATACAGTAGATGCGAGGCAACTTGTAGAGCTTCAAAGGAGGCGCAGAATAAAGTACCTACTTTCAGCGGGTATCCATGTGCACGCTAGCGAATCCATGGAACGGATCGATTGAATGCATGATGCCGGTTGTATTTCAAGCTTATTAAAACCCGACTTTGCTGTACGTACCTACACATGTAGCGATGAGCAACATCAATAGAAAGCTCAAGCTCGTAATCAATTCGATTCTCATCTAGACCTCGACGTATGCAAGGCATAGGTGCCTAACCTAGGCACGGAACTATATAGCTCATATATGCAGACGACATGACAACGTGCCTTTTAGACTACAGGAAACGGCACATTGACCACATCATCAACATCAATAGCCCGTATTCCGTCTCTGGCTTTTTGTTTCGTGTTTGTTTTCCAATCCGACATGGCCGAAAAGGCGAAGGCATCCGTTCATCAAATCCCGCCCTCAATTGAGCCGCAGCCAGGCCAGTATTTCGTAAGTCTCCGGGGCTTCCGACCGCAGCCTACGCCGCTGGAAACTTATCTCAGAGCACCGCTACCTACCCCCCAAGGGAGGACGCGCGGGGGGGCTCAGATCCCGGCAATGTCAATCAATCCCCCCAAAACTTCCAGGCACACCACTCAGCTTCCAAGGTTGCTGCAATGGTTTACCATGTACTTGGGTAGATCCAATATCTAGTCGCTGCAATTCAAAGGGCAGAGTAGGATAACGCTCTTTTTTTTTTCTTCTTTTCCTCCTGCCAACACCCCCTTCCCCCCCTCGTTCACCATGCCTGCCGCCGACTCAGGCTTCGGTTCAAACAATCCATTCCGTCGAAATACAACTGCCAGCTTTACAGGACAAGACCCCTCATCAGCCCCGAGCGGGTCCGTTGCTGCCCCGAGCTCAAGCTTCCTCGCTGCTGCAGCAGCATTGTCGCCCTCGAGCTCTGCCCCGCGACCGCCACCTCCGCTGACAACATTCAAGAGTGCTGCAGCCGTGGCCGAAGACAGCCATGTCGATTCAGCAAGGGCCGACCGGGACTCTGTGCAGCCAAAACCCAAGAAGATAGTAAAGAGGGTGCGGGTACAATCCCCGCCGCCCTCGTCGCCCGAAGATGCCGTACCTGTTGGACGCTATCCACCCCTCGACGACGATGTCGACAGCGACGACACAAACTCTGACACCTCACACGACGCTGGAGAGCGGGCCGATCCCTTCAGCAGCGGCGATGCCGCCGAGTTGAACAGAAGCGCAGTGCACAACGAGCCACCTGTAGTTCGCCCCCCGGCAAATCCGTTTTCAAAGACGCTGCAGGACCTTGAACACAATGCTCTTGGACAGGACAACGGAGCTGGCGGCAGTGGCAAAGGATCGTTGGATGTAGACTCCTTCAAGAGGCTACTGCTCACAGGCCAGACCACTGCTCCTGGGGCAGGGGTTGCCGGATCGTCCATGGGATTGCAACAAGCTACAGCCATCGATGGCGCCAGTAACACTGATGCGAGCTCCGCTTCCCGACAGTCTTTGTATGAGAACGTGCAGGAGACGCCGAGGACATCACATGAGATATCAGATCCGGAGGAATCTAAAGTCTCTATGGCTTCGCCTCTGGCAACGGCACAACCACCTTCTGGGCGGAAGCCCCCTCCCCCACCCAGCTCCAGACATGGGAAGCTTATCAAGATGGAATTGGGAGCTGAGAATAAAGCCAAAAGGGCACCAAACTCTGCCATATCAATCAATACAGACACGGCTAATTCAGCTCCAACCCGAAAGTCGAGTATACACTCACTTACGCAATCATCACCTGGTAGTTCGGACGTGAATAAGCCTTTACCGCCTCCCCCACTTCGATCGCCGGGAGAGGAGGATGTGGTCTCGCCATTCGATAGAGAAGCCGCTGGCAAGGTTCCAGAGTCGTTGGCAGCCCTCACAACGAGCCCTCAAGCACCGACGTCGCTTTCGGAAACGTCACGCGCCCGCTCGACATCACAAAGTAGTACTCTTACTACGTCCAGCTCACACCGAAAACCTGCCGCGCCTCCTCCTCGGCGGCATGGTCATGGCAGGACAGACAGCAAACCATCCTCCATTCTCTCGGACAGGGCCGACGAGGATCCACCCCGCAGTTCTCTCGAATCAAATCGGTCTCGAGCCGACAGCATCCGCGTGAATATCAATTTTGACAAAAATTCGTCGGCTCCGGCACCACCGCCTCCTCGGCGGCCCAACCATGCTAGAAAAGGAAGCTCGCTAGCCAGTCCAACTTTGTCGACATTTAGCCAAGTAAACAGCCCTGGGTCAAGTGATGACAGCAGATCGCCTGGGGTACTGGGGTTCAATCCGATGGAACGTCAAGCCGGCGCTGGCTCTATGCCAACGGTGACACACAGCAAGGACGGACTACCCAAACTATCACCGCCCCCTCCACCACCAACCCGCCATGCAAGTTTAAGGAGGCCATCTAGTGCGCACAGCACGGATGCCAGCCCACTTCGAAAGGTTAGCAGGGAGAAGGATGGAGGAGTCGTGCCACCGCCTCCACCACCGAGATCAAGGGGAGCCAGCAGAGCAAGCTCGAATATGGTCGACTCCCAGCATTCGTCCGGGCGTTTGAGGGCGGAAAGCGAGGCAACAAGATTAGATGAAGAGCCGGTCACTACACAAGACACCCAGGCTATCTCAGAAACAGGAACTCCTGCAGATCCCGGCGCAGGCGACGATATCATGGAGCAGCTCCGGGCACTTCAACAAGAGGTCGAAGCGGCCAGGAAGGCTTCAGGCAGCAGCTGAAATGTGCCAGGGGCTGTACTTGGAGGAGTTCACCTGATTAAATAATATGGATATGATTGACTGTCTGCAGATTTGGAGATAAGTCTGCGGGTAACATCAACAAGGGCTTTGACTGTGGACAACAAGTGGTATGCATGTCAGAAGACAGAGATCATGAACGCTGTTATTATAAGGGGCGCGACATGCACGCAAGAGAGGATGATCACGTGCCTGTCTTGTTGTCAAGAATAGACAGGCAGCCAACGGTATGTACAATAACAGTAAAGATTTTTTCCAGATTTCTTGTAGTGGTAACGTGCCCCAGAAACGTAGCTTATAATACCATATATTATGTGTGGAGAGGAAACTTCAGTTGTCCTTTGGTCGTTCTTCTTGAACACGATGCCTTGGTGTCCAATTCGGCTATAATCAGTCTGTGTATGAGACTAGAAGTGCTTATTGTTCGAGACTATTACGCCATGTTCAAACACTAGCCCATTTGTTCCAACAGGAGAGATGTTGTAGTTGGCACGCGCTGTTTGGCATCTGCCTCTTGAACTTTGCGGTTTCAGCAGTGAATCTATGAATCTTGAATTTCCCATGAAGCCCCGAGTCAAAGCGGATGAGTATGCTGGTGCTGGGATTTGAAATGACAATCAACTCTGGTATTATTGCCGGTGTTAATGGTCCAAGCATAGCCAACAAACAACAACTATACTATTAGCTCTCGCCAAATTTCTAATGGATGATGTGGACCGCGTGCAGACAGAGGCTCGCTGTGAAGTGCATTCAGAGGGGAAAGAAAAATGCAAGACAACCAAATGAACGGCTTATTCCCACCAAGATCCAAAACTACATAGATACTTATTAACTAGGTATCATTTGTGTTCCTACCAAACTCAAGCGTCGCATCAAATGCTGCAGAGTATCCGTCCAGCACTTTCAGAACACTTCTACTCTGTGTTGATTCAGTGCAATCAGTCGATTGAGTTTAACTTCTATCTCAAAGAATGCATATGCTTGTGATTCCCTATGTAGGGCAAAATATTCATGTATTTTCTGGGTTCCATACACGGTTGTTGAATTGAAAACTCCACTTGCAAATCACGATGATTTTTTTCGTGCTACTTTGAGGAGGGGGTGGTAACGTAGCGGGTTCCTTGATAATCCAAGCACTCTCGTCTCCAACACGAAAGAAACCAAAAATAGCGGCTCCATGATTATTAAAGTATAAAAATCTCAAAGTGACTGACTTCAATTGCAAGAATATATCCCACCATGATGGTCTTGCCATCCCTACGGCCACACCAATGCTTCCCTGTGGCTCATCCTGAGAACAAGAGAAGACGACACTCCTCAACGACAGCATCCACGACCGTCAACATTGCCTGTCCCTTTACTGAAGATACGAAAGTGCCAGTATTGACTCCAGGGATGCCATTTATGGTCCACCAAACCGTTTGAATTCTCTTCGTAACAGTGTCTAAATTCTCTAAAAACGAATACGCCTGGAACAAGGCTCTTTGAGCCAGTACCCTTCAATCCAGCGATCCCTAAACCAACAACAGCTTCTGAGCCCGCAAGAGCAACAACTGTAATAGATCCATGAATCAGCCACCACCTGGCTTCAAATGGATAACTTTCATCACCTGCCACACTAGCTGTGACGCCCACACCAGGAAACACAGCATTGCTACAATCTAAGATCTGAGAGAAGCTTGTGATTGTCGAGAAGGATATGATTAACAGATTGTTCAGGTATACCTACCAAGCTAAATTGCGCATGGTGCTTGCTATGTTAGCCGTAGAAGTTGGAGACCACAACGAGAATGTAATCAAGATAACTTCGAGGCGGTATTAGTTGAGGAAACTTCTGGAAGGTCGCCCAGGCAGGGATAGAAAGCGGCCAGGGTCAAGAGCAGAATCAAGAATGTGATTGAGCCTTTTGATCAACTGCGCGGGACTATGTCTTCAATGGTCAAGAAAGAGCCCGCTGCTGCGACACCCTGGGCTGGCATTGCGGCTGTACCCGGTAGATTTGCATTCTTCTTTTCTTTTTCTTCTGCCATCATCTCATTTGCCAAATACTCTGCCAAGCATACCAGAGTTTTTGCTTTACCATTGTCCCGACGTGTAGCGAATGGCAAGGGCACCAAATACAATTTGCAAAGAGTATAAGTATACTGGAAGCTCTCAGGACTACTTTTTGACCCGAATCTCGACAGGACGTCATTGGTTTATGACCGAATCTGAATAAAGGTATTGTGCAACTGTATCAAAAGCTTCTGCTTCGCAAGATAAGAGTGTTTATCTTTATGGTCGTTCTGAGGCAGCCGCCATTATACGCGATCTCTGAAACTCAACGACTGAATATCGCAGATCACCCCTGTACAAAATGAAGTCGAGAGTGTCTGAAGGGATATGCGCCAGTTTAGAACCCTTCTGGGTTCCTTCGTGGGAGCCTCGCTCGCGGGTGATCGACGCATGCCTCCAAGGGCTCCGAAGGGACTCGATGGCCTGCATTAGAGCATGATAGAAGGGGCTCTAGAATCAGCTGACTGAGCCTTGGGCAGCCAGGTCCGGCCACTAGAGTCACCGTCTGACTCTTGATGAGCTGCGTGCCCACGTGCCGGCTACACGCAATCCGTCGGAGAAGGCTTTACGAGAGGCTTTGGTCAATTTTGGCTCCTTCTTGACACTTCAGCGAGGTAAAACTGGTATTAGCGTCGGCCATATCAAATTGACAGTCTCTCCCGCTTTGGGAACAATTGCCTTCATTGCCTGGATCATGGTTCCCAGACTTTAAACCAGTATTATTGAGGAGGCTCAGGAGATATCGGCATCAAGTCCTCCATTGAAAAGGATATTCTGTGATGGTTCGGAACACTTCCTTTGGTGAGGAGCTTGCCTCAAAGCACGGTAAGCTTTCAGCAGATCACCATGTCCTGGAGGGGAAATACTAGTTCGGAGTTCCATGATCTCATCTGATGGAAGATCCGTACTGCTTCATTTTCTAGAACAAAGCATGCTTTGAGATGAGCCCCCTGAAGCTGGTGTTGATCACCGCAAGGAATTGCTTGAAGAAGCTGAGGCGATGAAATTGAAACATCGTCGGTATGCATTGCCACCCAGTTGAGTCCTTCCTGATAGCGATCCTTGGTGCTAGGCATGGCAATGTGATGGCAAACAATCTTGCCGATGCGTACACCTGATGGAGTTTTCCGCCTATTGTACGTGGCTACTACTGCGTACCAGCTATCGAGTCACAAAAGAAGAATTCAGGTTTCCGACTTCCTTACGAGCCACCAAGTCTAATGCGCCGTACTTCACAAATAGGCAAGAGGCAATAATATTCTCTTATAACAGCAAAGACGTTTTCGTAGTGTCTCCTTCCTATACTACATAGTTCGGCACGATAATTTGTCTCATTATTGGCTCGAGGAAGTGGATTGGTAACTTTAAAGTATCGCTAGATTCAGTGAAGCCTCCTCAGGAAAGGTCGATATCTGGTCCTACAATCCTCCTGGAACCATCTGTTGATTATGGATATTGGGGCCGAGAAGATAATTCATGTCATGATTGACCGTTAATGGCGCATTGATTGCTTTTTCTCCCTGGACGAAACCCGTATGGTCACACTAAGAAAAGAAAACACTATTCTCTAGATTGTTGGTGATGACAACCCCTTTGGGTAATCTGATTTAATGGATAAATATGAAATATGGCGTTCCTTGGAGATGAGAAAGTGGCCACAAGCTGTTCTGACTAGAATGTCACTGTTCGACCAACGAATGACGGCTTTGAAATTACGCCCTTCCGCTAGCATTCATTTACTTGTTCAAACACGTGGTTGAACACTACTCTAGTTTGAGCTACGCGTGCTGGTAAGAGGACAGAGTCCTCAGAGTCTATGACGACATTGGATGTATTTGCAGGAAATTGCTTACCATGTCGCCCGCGTGTACGTCGTATGTAAAGAATCAAAAGCCTGTGCTGTCTTTCATGCCACCAGCATGACCTGGAAGACCAAAAGTCAATTTATGGGACATGAATATCCATAAAAGGGAGATTGATGGAGGTCGTCCTCAGATCTGGCATGATCTGATGACTGGAGTTTTCTTCACACCAAACACAAGGCATGGAGTAGTGCTCGCCGCACCTCATTATCAGAGCGTGCAATTATGGCACGAGTGCGAGGGAAAGATCTCGGACTCCATTTTCAGTGCTCACAAGTCTCTTTCTCATCCATAGGTCACATCTTCTCCCAGTGGTAGTCATCTCCTGGCTAGCAGTAGAGGAACAAAGTCCCCAAAAGCAGATTCTGGACACGATCGGTGTCATAATTGCCGGTGGTCATATTGGTGGCGGTGCTATCAATTTTATGTATCGCAAATCAGTGATTGCTAAGTTTCTGACAGGTGAAAATTTCCTTGCATTTGTGCTGTGAACAAACGCTGTGAATGTTTGGGAACTGATAACACAAAACGTGAAAGCAATCAGATTTCAAGCTGCCGATAGAATCAAAGCCTCGCATGACAGTCAATCTCTGGCTATTACTTACATCGGTATATTGAACACTGGTAACTTTTTCTACCAGCGCATTACCTCCAGACAGTCCCTATAGCATCCGATTGTTTTTCCGTCGATGAGAACTTTTTGGCAGTAGCTCCAAACTCTACATATGAGCTCTGGATAATAGCAGCCCAAGCAAGTCATAACACTTTTGATCATCGTGATTGGGATTTTACACTCACAAATTCCTAGTACTCTCGCCTCATGGCAGTTCCGGTGCTTTCATTGTCGACTACGAGGTCCGTATCAGGAGTCTCGGGCTGCCACGCCGCTCTGTATAGGATACTCCCCCACAGAACGAGGAGCTGCCTGTTCGGCATCAAAAGTAAGCCCCTACTTTTTTATGGCGGTACTGTGATCTTATGTCAAACGGCTGGCGCTGATGACCACGTTAGCTTCGTCAACGTCTGACTGAACGTGAAATATTCACGCTATGGGATGAGCGCCAA